GAAACATCACCAAAACAACTTCTAAAATATAAATATATACAAATATATACAAATATATATATACCTCAATTCACAATCCTATCCCTCCCTACCCTACCCTATCCTAACTCTATCTTTACAACCCCCCAACCCCCACCTATCTCTCCCTATCTCACTCATAATCCCATTCATCTTATCCTATTCATCTCCACCATTTCAACACAACCAAGTATCTCGTACCGTATCATCTCAAACTACATACTTTCATATACCTCCCTCCTGACATCTCAATCCCACACTATACATACTATACATACTATACATCTAACACATCTAACACATCTTACACATTACACTCTCTAATACATACAAAAATACAAAAATGGATATAAAAATACACTTATAAAACTAACTATTGAATAAAAAAACCATCAAGATTGTACCACACCTATCTATATATCTATCATCCATATATACCGCATCACATCACATCAAAACACCCAAGCAAAATAACTCATCTCATCTCATCTCACCTCACATCAATCCATCAAATCATCAAAAGCACAATCACAATCACAAGTACAAGCACAGACTAAAAAAGTAGGGTATAACGCTGTCTATAAATTCTCTTCATCTCATCTCATCTTATCCGCTATGCACTTCTTACTAACTCCGCTAAACTAATCTCATCTCATCTCATATCAATCAAGATGAAAATCAAGATGAAGATCAATATCAAGATCCACATCGCACAATCCTCGTACCAAGACAAGAAAAAGAAAGATAAAGACACGGAAACATTTTTTGATTGTACACAAGGAGATTCATCTCTCGTCTCCTTTCATCTTTAAAGCGATCCATTTCCGCGTGCCTGATTTCCTTCTTCCTCTCAGTGTGTAATGCACAAATCGCCACGAGAAAACCACCACCTCAAACCCCAACCGACCCAGTCCAGAGGAACCCCGTAAAAAAGAAATCACATTGCATATCGCATACAAAACTAGTCCCAGTCTAGGCGTTCATCTACTTCATAAGAGAAGATAAAGAGCACAATAGTTTATCAACCAATGGCAAGACAAGGCAAAACAAGCAAGATATCCACCCTGCATTACTTGCCACTGCCAACCCACTCCAACCAGTCCGAGAAATTTCTGTTCCTTCATTCCCTTACAGACACCTATTTTTCCCAATTGTCCGAACAAACTCACTCAATTGGCGAGGGTGTTGAAAGCTTCATAAAGAAATCCATCATGATCATCAGAGTAATCCCAAGTAGCTCCAACCAACACGACAGGCCATAGCGCCCATAGAAAAGCCGCATCAAAGAAAAACTAAAAGGAGATAGAGGTAAAGAGAAAAACTTGAAGCGAGCCAATGGCAATGTCTAGCATACAATAGAACTCGCAAAGCTATGCAATGAAAACAAAATAGAGAAAAAAATTACTAAAAGAATCATATACAAGTGGGATAGTGGATGGTGTCAAAGTTGACTAAATGGTGAATAGAATGACATCGAGAGACTTTTATGATTCAGACGACGGTGAGTTTGGGAAGAACTCTATATTGGTTGTTGCATGAGTTGATGTGTGTTGATAAGCTGACTGGGGGCAGCCATACCAGAATTCATCATTCCCATTGACATAGGCATGCCGTGAAAATTCGACGTCATGCTTTGTGGGAGATAGCCATTTTCGGAATTTGGAGATGCGTCTTCAAGAGATCCAAGGTGATCTTCACCCTCGAAATCTTCTTCTTCGCCACTGTAGCTGCCATAGGCACCTTCAGATCCATCACCACGATCATGTGTGCGACGATGTCTATTGAATCATTGTTAGTTCATGTTCTAAATACCCTTTATCGAATTGAGGCGAGGGATGCTGTGATGTGCTGTGCTTTTTGTGGATAGGATGAAATTCAAATAATGTGTAACATACTGGGCTAGGTTGTCTGAGCGGGAAAATGCTTTGCTGCAGTGTGGGCAGATGTAGGGTCTTTCTTGTGTATGGGTTCTCACATGTCTGGAGGGGGGGTAGGTCAGCGGCTTGATCTACAGCCGGACAAATGAAATGAAGAAAAATGAAAATATGGAACATACCGTTTAAGATGTTCTAAACGCTTGAACAGACGGCCGCAAGTGGGAATCGGGCATGAGTGCGACTTTTGGGGATAGGGACCAAGTTCCATCATCGTGGCGCTTCGTGCTCTTCGCACTACTCCACCGGATCCCTGCATGTGTCCTCGTTGAGGTGAGTGATCCAGTGGACTATCCCCTGAAAGATCATCATTTAATTGGAAGTCTGGTTGTTGCAAGGACATTGGGTTGACGTGTGGAGAACCCTCTACGGTGGAAAGTGGGGTTCCATGTCGGGAGAAATCAATGAGTTCTTTGTGATGTGCCATTTGATGGGGTATTTGGTTGCTGTATGTAAGCCCAGGTGGAGAGTTTTCGCCTGACTCGTCGCCCTCAGCTACCGGCCCAACAGAATGCGAGACCGATCTCCTCAGGTCCGACGGTCTATGAGCTGGGTGAGAATGTTGACCAGCTGCTGCCGCTGCTGCAACGATGGATGCAACTCCAGGTGGAATCGACGAGCGGCGCCTCCTTTGCTTGTAAGTTGGAGATCCCTCAATCACTGAATAGACATTGTTTGCTCCATAACCTCTGGTTGCATGCGAAAATTGTGGGCCAGACAAGTTTGATGGGGGTAACTGCATCATCGTGTGTAGACCATTAACACCACCCATATGATCCGGAATTGCTGTGTAGAGACCAGTTTCTTCATTGGCGATGTAAGCGGGCTCAGCTCCCATTCCAAGGGCTTGTTGAGGTGGAGTAATGGGTTCATATGAGATACCACGAGCACTGTAATCTTCGTAGTGTGATGAAACAAATGAGGGAGCGGGAGAGTACTCCAATCCATATGCAGGCATGGAGGCATGTCGCTGATGTGTTTGTCCTATCGGGACACCATTCTGGTTGTATTGAACGCGGTTGAAATCTGGTTCCCTCTTAACTTGTTGCATCTGCTGTTGATGATGTTGATGTGGTTGCATTTGTGGTTGCTGCATCGTCATTTGTTGATAAGCTGCCATGTGGCTCATCTCTTCTGGCATTGCCATAGCTTGTGGGACCATCTGTGGAGGAGGCATTGAATCTATCGCTCGCATGACTGGGGATGTTGATTGTGATGGGTTATACGAAGGTTGTTGCGCAGAAAATGACGAAGAGTTAGCTTGCTGGGCCTTTGTGAGTTGCTCAAACAATGACTGCGATGAGTCAAACTCGAAAGATAAAGCTGGTTCATTAACTGCAACAGTTGTAGCTTCCTGTCCCATCTTCTCCCTCTTCAAATCCCGCTCAAGTGCATCCAAGAACAACCTATCGTGTGGCACACTATACCAATAGAAAACCTTTTGTTTCTTTTGAGTTCGTATGCAGTTGTTCTTGTATAAGAAATCGAGGAAACCACTCTTTGGCTCTTCAAGGGAGGCATCGGTCCCAGATTTTAAATTTCGCAGATCGGAGAAGATACCCTCTTCAAATTTCTTTGAGTTCTTGACCGGTCGGCCAAAGGCTTGGAATCGGAAGGACAGGCATCTTACAATGTCAGTACCGGAAATGTGAAAGAGGTTGTTCCTATTCAATCATTAGCTCCACTACACTCCTAATAAAGAAACGCTTCACTATACCATAACACGCAAGAAACGTATTCACCGGTTGGAAGAAGAAATCGTCTGATATATTGATCCGACGACCAGTCAACAGGAGCAGATATTAAAAAGTATTTTACTGGCACCAAGTCAGTAAGATGCTTATGAGTATTGTTTATTTATACTTACGATTGTCGACTTGTTGAAGGGCTACTTGAGCATCTTGAGGAAGACTTTGTTGTGCTTCACTACTCAGCATGAAGGTCTCTGGTTTTTGTGGAGGAGCCATCGTCGCATGGTGTTGGGAATACATCATATGCGCCATTCAATTGAGTCGAAACGACGACTCAAGAAGTTGTTCTTTAAGTGAAAAGATATCAATTGGATCGATAAGGAAATCGGAACACCGGCAGGGCCGTAAGGCTGAGGAACACAATGTATCGAAGTATGGCACGTATTGATTAATTTATGAATCAACGGAAATGTCAGCAACGACGTGAGGCAATAGATAGTATCCTTGAAATATCGAAGATTGAAGCGAGCGTCAGAGAAATGAATTGGTATCGGTATCGTGGGGATGTTCTATGGAATGATGGGGTTGATGTTCAGATGGAGGGCCTGCTCCCAGATAAAGCCAGATGGAACAGTTGACGTTCGAGGGGTTCGAGGCCAGCAAGAACTCGACACGAATCTTCTGAAATGTATTTGAAGAAAAGTGATGAAGAAAAAGAAGAAAAAGAAGGAGAAACAAAACCGTCTAATCGCGGTTTGGTTAAATTAAGAGAAAGGATTTATGTAAAAGGTAGACCGGAGGACTGAAGGGAAATAAAAGCTTCAGCGAGCGAAAAGATGTGAATTAAAAAGGCTGCAACAACAACACTTTTTAAAAACAAAATCCAATCTCTTTCGTCGCGATGATTTCGTTCCCGTTTCGTTCGGTCGGTAAATGAAGAGATACCCTCGGGTGAATGCTGCGATCAATAGAGAAGGTTGACTGCGGCTGAGGGGTGGAAGCTTTTTCGATGTACGGGCGACCTGCGACGAGAATGAGAGACGTATATTTTTTTCGAGTTTGAGATGAGGAAGGCACGGGGGGTTTAAGACGGAAGGGTTGAGTTAATAGTCGTTTGAGAATCTCAAATCTGAGCCTTTTGGACCTGGTCTGCGCGGTCGAAATGTGGTAGGGGCCTTGGATCTTTTTTTATTTACCTGGGTGTTGAATGTGGGTGGGTGGTGGTATGTGGGTGTAAGTGGTGTGCACTTGGATGGATGGACAACTGGGTAGGGTGAGAGAGAATAGGAAGAGGGATAATAATAATAATATAATAATATAACAATAATAATAAAATAATAATAATATTTGAAATAATCGATAGGAAGGAGTCTAGGAGAACGAACGGGCGAGGGAACGGAGAACGGATATGTAAGCTAAGGAAGAACGCTGGTAAAATGAGTGGAATTATAGGCCGCTCTGTGCCTTTTTCCCTTTTCGTCCTAACTTGTTTTTGGTAATACTTTCAAGGATGACAATCGCTCGCGCTCGCTGCTTTGGCTTTGGCTTTCTGCTTTACCCTTTTGCTTTACCCTCGCTTTGCTTATTGGGGAGTGCCCAGATGTGGTGTGGTAAGAAAATGGGTCAAGGGGTTGGGTTTGTGCTCAAAAAAAGATGTCGTCTCCAATCTTTTTCACTTGCTCTTTTAAAAGTTAAGATCTCCAGAGCTTGGATCGCGCGTGGTTTGATTGACTTGATATTATTATTAGTTGCTGAAATGGATCGAAAGGAATATCCCAGACAGATAAAGTGGAAATATCTACTGTAATCGTAGTTCGAATCGCTCGAATAGTGCGAATAGTTCGTGCCTCACGCGTTGGTTAAGTCGTGAGTCTCCTGGGACCGCTTTACAGATAGATGTCGCCGTTTCAAACTCGAGGGGCAGAGATGGATGGGTTATTAGACAACCTTTTGCTTCTTGTGTTTGCCCGTTATTGTTTGGAGGTCGTAATGTTCGTAAAACGTCGTTGAATAACTAACTACCTAGGTATTGAACAGGGTTTATTGGTGATAGCTTTAAGTGACTAGTTTGGAGAAAGTTCGAGAGATCAGATTGGTTACTATCGTGATCTGAAGCAAAGCTTCCAGGGGGGAGAAAGTTGAAGTTTATCAAGGTCGTATGGATTATGTATGCTGTATGCGGAATGCAGGTGAAGGAGCGCAAGAAGAAGGGAGTTTACTGAAGACCGAAGGATGGAATACTGTACTGGTGAAAGGTATTAGGTAGTAGTACAGAATCCTAAGGGTGGTGCTAATAAAGATTTCGGAGATGGAGCGTGAACGTGCGTGCTTATGTTGTTGCAATGGCTTTCTTCTCCTCATCGGTACGGATATGTATAGTTTTAAAATACAGTATTACAACGGAGTGTACAGAGTATAATTTCCCTTCTATTCCCTTTCCGAACTTCCTCTCCATGCTTCAGTTGATATGGATTCCGTGAACTTCTAATCTCTTACTATTGAGAAAGAATTGGCAGGTGGGTTTGGATATAAAAAAGTGGATGTCAAATGGAAATCCTTTTCCTTCTAGAGCAACGAATAATATGAATAATGAATGACCTTTTTCACAGTGAGACAAGAGATAACCGCATAATAAGAAAGTGGTCGCTAGTGATGTCTTTGATTTAGAATCAAATTACTAGGTAATTATGTTAAACTCATTAGAAGATATACAACTATCAGTTGACAAGAGCCTAAAGAGTTATATTGCATTATTCAAATCATAACCCTCAATTTTTGATATTAGACCATACACATTATTTTGGAATCAACAAGTTCATTTCAAATCGGTAAAGCAGCATCAAATGCAGAAGACCATACAGAATGAATGTACTGCACGACTCAAGAAAGTAACCGCTAGGGCATCATGATGCTGATATTGGGCAATAATTTAAAAACAGCGTTGAAAAGCAAATATTAATAGGTTGCTTTTGTGCTGTGGGGTGTTCATCTAGGCCAAAATACTGGCTGGACACAGCTGACGGACGATGAACATGACTTGTACACCTCGTGAACCAAATGATTCTCAACCAATTAATCGAATCATCTAAAATTGTATACTCTCGTGCTACCCTCTACCCGCCTATGGTATGGATATTTGTATTTGTAAAGCCTAGCAGGAAAATAATAACCGAATGATTGATTCTAATTTTCCATACTTCCACCTCAATGTGGCTTCTATTGCTAGAGTTTATGGCTTATTAAGATTACTATTATCATAAATCTGTCTACTTGCATAAAATAAAGCAGATGTGAAAATCTCCTGGTGGCTAAGAGCCCTGTCAGAATACCAATGGGATGCTATCATCTTAGGCCTTCGTGTTTGAGAAGTATTCCGATCAAGGGTAAGATTGCACGCGGCACATTCTGCTCCTGGCGCTTGTTTCTGGTTGCCCTCTCCCTTTTCCTCCAGTGACTGTCAAACTGTCTTCCTGTCCTAGGTAGTTACCTCATCTCAGGCATGTATACAATCTGCCTGTCCATGTTCTTTCATGTCATTGATGATTTACCCAAGGAGTAAGAATGAGGTAGGAATAGGAACGAGGCGAAGCTTAACCGAATGTAACGTAAGTGTAACCCCGATAATAAACTGGCGATGGATGGAGGCGTACCATTCCTAGGAATCTATATTACCGTGCCGTTTTCAAGGTGGTGGCTTTGTTTCTGGTGCAGCATCTCAGGAAAGGAAAGCAGGAAATTTGTGTTTCAGGGTTGATTTTTTTACACTGTAGTTACCTCTATCCATAGTTCGCCAGGTCTTTTGAGTGGACCTACAGGCAATGAAGAAAATGGAATCACCAAAGCTCACTCTAGAACCTTAGATCAACGTTAAGAGAATCATTCGTTATTTGAAAAACTGGGTACAGTATAATATTTCACAAAGAACTTTCATAATGAAAGGATTAAGTTCATGGAATATGAAACATATATCTTTTGAATAAGGAAATGGTTCTTCTCTTTCTGTTTCATTCCTTGTTGTGATGATGCCCGTGCTAAGGTCTCATGTGATTATGCTGTCTCTTGAGTTATGACACCACTTGCATCGGCTTCGTATACCTCATTCGACATGTAATCTCCGCGTAACCTTGCCATCTGCATGTCTGGACCATGCTTCTTGCATCGGGAGTAAATAATGTGGTTCCTCCCTATGCAAACTGCTTTCTCGGTCGAACCTCACAGAAAGCAGAAAGGAAACCTCTTTCATTGATATGACGATCTAATAATCACTGGTCTATTAGTGGAGCATGGAGGGTCGTCCCGGCAGGGAGAGCGGAGTATTATTCTCACTGGGAACGAGATTTAGAATTGGACATCCATACAGGTATCACAAAATCGGCTAGTACGACCGCTTGGGGACTCGGAACTCGCAGTTGAGAAAGCTGAAGACCGCATGTTTCTATATTTGGTCTTGTTAAGAAATGGAAAGACCATGTATAACAAAAAATCACCTTTTTCGCGTGGGGGAGGGAATGGATCCTGTGGGGCATGGGTTGTCAATAAATGAGGCGAGAAATATTCGTGATGGCATCTCACAGAGGGTCCAGTCAGTGCAATACATTGGTACATTGGAAGACCGAAGAAGGTTCATGCGTTGACTTGACAGAAAGGCAGCAATCTTGACTCAAAAATCTGAAGGATAAGATCCTCAGTTACTTCGTAATTTTGTTAGGTTTCTAACTAGACCTTAGTGGTCGTAAGGCTTGAAAAGAGTACCAGTGCATCGTACTTCTAGTTCTCTCACCTGCTAGATGCCGATGAATGAGCGTGGGATGCAAAGAGCTTCGAGAACGAAGTGTAAAATGCCGCTGCGTGGATGGCGCGCGATCTGAGCGTTGAACTTGTTGAATGGCCGTTGCTATGACGGTAAACTTACTCAGTGTGGACGTGTAGACCCATGAATTTCCCAGGATTGAAATCCTCAAATACCACCCTTCTGGTTGATACAAACGATGCGACCTGAGACCTCCGCTCGAAGATGGATACTTCCGCACGCGAGTCACGAAGAAGTTTAGTCTGTCGTCCCGCGTCCGTCAAGTCCACAGAAGGGTAGATATGTTAACATGAAACAGTGCTGAGGGATCTCTCGCCTTGCCTCAGAAATGCAGGTACCTACTGGTTTTCCGTGATGACTTCGAACCGTTGAGAGGTACATGGGTTGCCAGATGCCCTGCCAATCTTTCAGTCCTCAAGCTTGAGGATATCTGTCTCGTGGCCTTGGTCCAGGTCTTCCAAAATGGTGATAATGTGGTAAAATCTTTTGCCACAACCCTCGATATATTCAACAGTTCGCTTTGTTTTTAGAATGCCGTTGCTACTTTCATCCACACTTGGGGTGTATTTTGGGCAGGGGACCATTCGGCAATCTATAATATCCATCCATTTCGGTCGTGGTGAAAGTATAAAATCAAATCTTGTCCTTCATCTCTGTCGGTTTTTGCTCTTTCATCGTTTCTCAGGTTTTACCAGTCATAACTAGTCAGGAGTATATCCCCGCCATCAATGCATTACCTTATAGCGGCGGGAACTCTGAACTGGACCCCTCTAATTCTGCCAATCAATCCACACGCATCAATGCAGCCCTCACTGCATCTAGAGCCATAAAATGACACACAGAGCATGTACCTTGTCATATTTACCTGTACGGGGAGTACGTATGGTGGGATGTATATTCAGTATAGCCAATCCATGGCGTCCGCACCCCCAAAATGCAAGAGGTGAATATTTGCGCACATTGCCCCCTAAAACCGAAATCCGATGCTCACCTCCCGATGAATTTCTATCGCGGCCATATGGAAGTACCTTCGCCATCGAAATTGGGAGCTGTTCCCATCATCGATCACAGTTTCTCGGGAGGATTTCTCGAATCGGTTCCTGCATTTAATTTCAAGGTATAACGCAGGTAGATCTTCCAAATCAGGTCAAGTATAAATGGCGGTACTTGTTTGATCATCAATTTAAAACTTGATTGCACAATACATATCTGAATTATAGCAAGGTACTGCCATCCAAATCATCACGGAATGGATAGATCTAACTTCCAGAGAAAATCTTTTGAGTGCTGTGATGTTTCTTCATGGTGAATCCTAGATGAAGGAGAATCCGAAAATTAAGCGATCAAGCTGTGTAAATGGGCTACCACGGAATACGGGCATCCATCACTCATTTTCCTGAAGGATTTCTTCTTGAACACTTCATACAATTTTCTTCTGTCACGATATGGTAACAATACTCCGTAGAGATGGACCGCATAGATAGCCACGAAGATCATCATCATCATCCATATCATGCATTTGTTACTAACGCTTTTCCTACAATTCGCAACAAAATCCCCGAAAACTTAAATTCCAAGGAATTTAGGCAAGCAGTAGGCAAAGAAAAGCAGGTACGCGCGAAGTATCTTTCTTTCGAGTTTTTTCAACCACTTGATTTTTCAGCAATTAGACTCGGCGTTTACACACATATGATATGTATGTACCACCATAGAGTGAATTCAATCTCGTACCTATTGTTTACCTTGCTCTGGGATCCACTATACGATGTGATGCAGTGATCCCGAAAATAGAGTATTCGGTAAATTCTCACATACAATCCACATTCACGCCTTAGCCCAACTTTCAAGATGCTGATGTACTGGTAATACTTTCTCACTTAAAGCGAGGTACTTCCCACGATATAGGATGTAGAACACTAAGTTCTATAGCTACACAGTAATATCATATCATATCATTGTCCAATATCTTAGATTCATCAACTAACTAATCTCTGAGTGAGATCATCTGCCGTTCAGTAATCTAATTCAAATTGGCCACTCATCATACGACATCACAAACTTAAATGCCTAAGTCAAAAGCTGTACAGTGCGGTTTATTTCGCACATCGCATAGTGCATTTCTGCAGAAAACGAAATACCGAGCGCTTGCTCAATGTCCAATCTGCCCGCATTCATAAATTAAAAAGATTACGGGCTGCATCTTCCAAGATACACAACCTCTAATCGATTGGCTCACGAGATTTCTCCATCTTCTCTTCAAGAATCTGATACATCGCTAATTGGCTAGCTTCCACTCCAAGAATGCACATGAATAAAATATTGCTCTAAACAGGGATAAATTAATGCAGGTATGCATGAAACATCTACTAAAGCTTGAGCTTTTCAGGATTATTACTGGAGACAAAGGTACGGCTGTCTCAACTTCTCTGTTTTTCATTCTGCGGGAATTGATCGCCGTCCGCCGCGTTGCCGCTTCTTTCCTTGTTTAGATCTAGATCGTCGAGCACCAATCCGTGGGTAAAAGACACAAGAATTCTTTCGGGGTTCGAACTGGAAAGCGTTAATATATTCATTAATGACCATTCAAATATAATTCTAAGATCGGTATTGAAGCCACCCTGACTACGGGGTAGTCTTCGCTGTCACTTTTACCCTAGCTATTAGACCCGAATCTTGTGAGCTCGTGACTATGAAAGCGCTTCCAAAGACCGCCAAAGCGACCATCCCTTCTATAATTATCCGCAAATGTTCTTCAGTTGTATTTGCTGGACCAGTAACTCGGTGTTGGCGTCTAATTTATATCTGTTGTACTCCAATAATTTACTTCTAGGTCAGTATCTTCAGATTTGAAGGAAATGGAAATATCAGGCATGACATCACATGCCGACTGGTATTTCTGCCCAAATGCTTGCTCGGCTCGATTATCAAAGCTTGAAACGACGGTGTCTACGGCTTGGGATGAAGAGGAGATCCTTTGGACTAGGTCCTTCTAGATTGTGTCAGGTTATTCTATAGCAAGTGATTATTAACAAGTTTCTTCCTTCATCTCTTTCTAGTAGACTAGATGTCTACCGTGCTTGTCTATGTCAATCTTGCAGTTGCAGTGCCAGTGTTAGTGTGTCTGCAGGGCGAAACAAAGAAGGGCTAGTTACCTAATTGTGGCTCGCTGGTTCTCAGCATTTTTGCGCAAAGATGGTGCCTTTGCTACCATATTTTATTACTGTAATCTTACCTATCATCTAGTCTGCTGAAGTGGTGGATAATTCAAAACAGTGTAGCTGCATTGCTCTCAGACATTCTGTACATCAATATCTTAAATCACATCATACATGAATCAAAATTGAACTACAAAGAGATTAATTAAACGAATTGGAGAACTTTTGTACGAAAGTTCGGCAGTTGAATCCTCTTCGTACTTCGCCGCAAAGCTACGGTACTTTGGTACTCTCTTTGTATATTTGTCTGTAAATGTCTCATGCTTACCCGAAACATCCTTTCAATACGAGAAGGATTTCGCCTGAAGCTTGATTCATACTAGGATATCATCTTGTGCCTTATCTCATCTTGAGGAATAAAGAAAATGCTTACTTAATAAATCCTGAGATAAGTTCAGTGGCTGAATAGCAAGGCAGGAATGTCTTTTGTTGCATATCGCGAAACGGAGGATCTGAGATCGGATTCTATGCCATGCTCATCCCATCCACCTGTCTTTCGCAATGAACGAATAAGTGCAGAGGAGCGGCTCGTGTAGATGGAAGGATGCTTCTTTGTGCACCCTGCGATTCAAAATCGTTCTATTAATTGCACACTGTTCAGAAAGAATGGATGAGATGTAGAAAAAGGATTGTAGTGAGAGCGAGTGTTTGGCGTGGAGGTGGCAGTGAAGTTGAGTGGGGAGACATCTCGGTACGGGATGATGAATCCTTCCACGTTTGATGTCTACGGATGGCTGTCAAAAGTTTGGATGGAATTTCGAATCGCGATCCTTATGTTCGGGGGCTGAGGAAGGTTCTTCGTGGATTCGATGGCTCCCCAGATGCTGTCATGTATAATGGGCTTCTTTGCGCTGTAACATACGACGGCGAGGACGAAACTGAGGGAGGATTTAGTCGCACGTCTTCATGCCTGTTTCGTGTTTCGTTTCTAGGGGTGCTAGTGTTGAAATATATGGCACAGGTACAAACGTTGATATAGAGTTGAAGAAACTTCCGTGATGGTGGTTTTTACTGTCTATCGAGGATAATATTCTCTCGCATCATCATCCTACACTAGAGTAGAATCACATTAATCATGCATCTAGCATATCAATTTTAGTATCCAGACCCTTCTGAGAGAAGATATCCATTCACTTATACGCGCATAATCAATCACATCACATCACATGCCCATTCATTAATATATATCCAACCATCTTTCGCATCCTATCTCTTGCTGTGGACAATTTTCAGCATCCGAAACTTCAATGTTCTCCTATACAAAGACTCTAAAGGTACAATTTCGTTCATGTGAAATTCGCAAGTGTGCTGCATGTAAGTGTTTGAAGGGTCCGCAAGTAGATTCTTGATACCGTGATTGAGTAGGATAGAGTACATGAAATTGGGGTTTGCATCGCCAACTTCCCGTGCCGGAAAATAACTTAGATCATGTATCTTGTTGCGAGTAGCAGGTGCTCGTCACGCGAAATGAGTGTCTGTATCTCAGAAGAGCCAAGATCGGCACAAACAGGTTCCTCCACAGACCTCTTTACAGACCTCTGATTTTCCTTGTAATGCGAGAAGTTCTGAAAGATTTACAAATTACTGCGGTTGTGGTCTATATTTTCACTTGTGGTAATAGTTGCATATTCATTTGACAACTCAAATTCTTTTCTCGAACGTGAATGGGCATGGAAAAATGACGTGGATTGTATGAGTCAACACTCCTCAACTACTATTTACCACCTCAGATTCTAGAATTCAGAACTGGACAGGGAATACATAATGATCACTGCATTGCTATCAGATATCTAAACTCTTTTTGTAACTCTTAGAAGACGTGCTATGATTCATGACTTCCCTTTTGGAGAGTTGATAAATAACACCCAGGTCCATCTTATCTCTCGAGATCCTCCCCCTTTTTTCTCGTTCTCTCTTTTACAGCTTTCGATATCTTTTTCGCGGTCACATTCATCCCAGACTCTGCGCGTCCCACTAGTTCATCGCCACTATTTTCATTCGACACACCACTTAATCAAAATCTACGTTTCTTGGTCTTTAGACTATGCCTTTGCATCGATTGACTTTCTTTTTCGACTCGTTGGCTGTTTCCAACTTTGTTTCCTGTTTGCTCCTGATCAATGTCTTCTCCCATCATTTCCCTTATCTGCACCACTTCTAGTGTCCTCATCAACCATATCACCTACATTGCCTCCTTCGCCACCATCGACCTCCCTTTCCTCTGCATACTCACTAGTATCAATCATATTAGGGACCCAGAGTTTCCTCTTTGATTCCAACAGATTCCTCTTCTCAAAATGCCTATTATTTGCATCCCTCTTCATAATCCCGCATGTGCATCTGCTGCGGAGTCGACCCAACCAAATTTCCCTCATCCCCCTATCCCTTTGCAGAAATTCCCAACCAATTTGCGCGATATCGTGAATTTTTGCTTCGGAACGCGCCCTCCGCGATATTTCACCACAGTTGCAGCAACGAATTCGAGAACCAGAATCGGTTTGTACGAGCCATTTCAATGAGTGTTACTTTATCTTCAGAACTCAGCTCTTTAGCTAATGCTACTATTACCCGTTGTTCCGACACTTCGCTCGAAGAATCAATGTACGTGGATAGCTTTGTCGTGTGAGAAAAACACGCGGTATTTATCCCCTTGCATGCTGAAAATGGTAGAGTATTGGAGATGTGCAGACTATTTCAGTTGTTCCTCTAAGATCTCAGTAGTATTGATTCGACTTTGTTGCACACATGCTTTCTCTACTTTATGGGACAACGGAATCCTTTATTCTTATACTTGAGTCTCGAAAATAATGGGCAGAGCATACTTCCAAGGAAGGATTTTTGTAAGTACTGCTCTTTGGTTTTATTGAAAAAGATAAAAATTGCTATCGTAATCGAGTGAATTTGAATCAGTGGTCGTTTTTATTAATTATTAATGAGTACGGGAAATGATAGATCGAAGACAATAGGATAAGGAATATATTGGCGTGGTAAAATGAAAGTAAGATTACATGTAACTTGCCAACGACCTTACCAACTTCTCCTCCTCAATACCACTTCCAAACCAACACAGCCCAAAATATCTAAGATAAGCATTCCCAACCTACAAATCCATCCTCCCATTAACATCTCACCATACCTGGACCCCCTCCCTCACAATCACCATTCCTACATCCGCATCTCTTTCCCCCTCCACCACACCCCTAACAAAAGCACCTCCAATCCACGGCTCTATAGCACCCATCCCCTTCATGCTATCCGACCCAATCCTACCCAACCCCGTCGCCAACCAACCCGGACTTACCGCCCACACCTTAACCCCATCTTCATGCAGCGCACGATACCATTCCCGCATCATCATATTCAATCCCGTCTTCGCACTTCTGTACGCCGGCACGTTGAAATTTTTGCCGTCGAAATTCTTCTTGGGCCATCCTTTAGCTGAGTATTTGTTTGGGGGTAAATTCATATTGGTCGTGTTGCCTAGACTGGATGTGCCGGATGCGATGAAGAGGAGACGTGGGTTTGGCACCGAGTTCGAGAGAAGGAGGGGCATGAAAGTGGATGTCATGATTTGGGATCCTGATACGTTTATATCCCAGGATTTATTCCACATTTCGCGTTCGGACATTTCTCCGCTGGTGAGTCGTTGGTCGAGTTGTGCGCCTGGTAAATTGTTAGATATGTTTGTAAAAATTCCTAAGTTCCTTGCATAGCATCTCTAAATCAGGGAGTGGCAGGAGAGGCATGAAATCATGGGGTAAATTCCATACCGGCATTATTAACGAGCACATCCAACTTTCCAAATTTTTCCTTCACTTCCTCAAATGCCCTGGCGATCGCATCGTCGTGTTCGATATCCACAACCAGCGGATATAACTTGCTATTCAATTCTTTCATCTCCTTCGTAACACAGTCGATAGCGTCTTCAATTTTAGCCAAAGAACGTCCGCCAAGGATAATATCATATGCTCTCTCTGAAGCGTAAATGGATTTTACAATCTCAAATCCAAGGCCCGTGTTGGCGCCTGTGATGAGGATTACTTCCCTTTGAGTCTGAGACATGGCTGAAAGTACTTTTGAGAGATGAGATACGATGTTCGAATGAAAAGAGGCGTGGGTAGTTTGATCGGTCTTGATAATCAGTAATGCTCGAAGTCTGTGGTGTCTGAGGCGAAGGAAGAGTGAGGGATGTAAGATTTTGTCCTTTAAAAATACAGATACAAAAGAACATGTTATATATCCTCCATCAGATCTTTTCCAAGTAGTGTTAAAATACTTTCGCCCGGGATCCGGGGAGGTCCCTTTTCCTCTCGGCCGAGTAATGCCAGGGGAAAATACCAGAATTAAGCGAACTGTTAAACCCGTTTATGTCCGAACTCCTGCTTTGGTATAGTTAGTCGATGGAAGAAAATCCGTTTAATTGTAAAGTGTTCATGTATATTAGATTTGGAAGAGAAGGTACAAATTTACAGTCCAACTCAATAATCAGTCAACTTTGGGCGACAGGTATGGTTGACCAAGAGTAGACGGGAGACGCGGGATGCGGATGGACGCAAGACATCGTAACTTTTGAAGTCTAACCCATTTCATGCTATGGATTTCAACTAGGTAGTTTATAAAATATAAGCCATTCAATTTTCCATGACATCCAATTCGATCTCGAAATGATGCATATCAATCATAATATGATCTCATCATTTGGTAAATCCAAATATTGGTACAAAAATGTCCAGCTGGCATCATCTATGCTATTGCTGGTAAGATTTGGCGTATTGCTGCTCCAGATCTCAGTATTTTCCTGAAAAGGTATATTTGCATGCCAATTTGTACTGGGCACGTCTCCTTGGCCATTCTGGAACGAGTAGTACATAGTTGGCGTTTCGTTACTTAGGTCGCACTTGAGGATAGTAGCTTCAATAAGCCTTTGCACTTTCCCAGTGCCTTTGCTCCTAGAAGACTGTTCCTCAAATACTCTCTTAGCTTCCTTTAGCATCACCAAAAAACTGGCACATCTACTACTGATGTCACATCGAGTTCATGCAAACCCTGTCTCGAGTAACAAATGGTAAGACACAATGCCGCACATGCAAGCAAAAAGTCATGCCACGTAAGACTACCCATAAACCAACGCTGTGTTTCCAATTGTCCACCAGGCTCAAACTCTTTATACATATCTAGAAATCTTCGTACCAGTTCCCATGATGACTCGTAGCAAGCCTCAAGGCTCTTTGGTGACCCACGCGTTATGTATTTTCGATGAAGGACGCAAAGACATTTGTGATAAATGAAATATACGCAAAGCCGAGTGACTATCAGAGATGGAGAATCAACCACTGAATCTGCCATGTCTCGTGCTTTGAAAACTTCCGGAAGATTTATGAACGTGTCTCTGATTTCTTGATCGAGCTTTTCGAGCTCCTCATTTGACATGTCAATAGCAGAGAGTGTGTGTCGTATGACTTTTTCAAAGACAGTCACTAGCTTGTGTTTTACGATGAAGAAGAGTAATTCAGTAAGTTCATTTACCGGTCTAGCGGCTGGTAGTTGCAGAGTGTTTTCATCAAAATCGGAATCTAACAAATTCGTTGGAGGCTTTGTATCCCAAGTTGGGAATTGGATACTACTAGGTAATCCCAGCTGGAATGAAACAAGCATATCGATTTGCAATAACATCGACCAAGTGCGCCTGCGCATTTCTCCCTCAAAGGCGGAGAATCTTCCTCCAGATATATCAGCATCGCGATGGTAACCCATGACTGTTGCTAAGCGAACGAGTGCTCCGAGAAGGATAGCTATGCTAGAGCCGAGATCTAATCCTGCGAGACATTTGGAATGTACTAATAGAAGAAGCGCTTCAACCGAAAATTTTTGAGGCCGATGGTAATCTCCAGCGACTAAGCATTGTGCGGCCGCTACATCATATCGTTCGATTGAACTCTCCTCATCTGTGACTGACTTTGTTGACACTGCCCGGGTAGCTATATCGAGGATTGAGAACAACATTGAGGTCCAAAGTGGTGAAGCATTGGAAGGATTGGCCCAGAAGGACTGATAGTACTGACGGAATTGTGCGGTATGAACAAAAGGAGCTGCAACGGTTTTCGTCCTAAAATAAGCTCCCACTAAACGATCAACTTTAATTTTTGGAGGTAACAATTGTGATAGTATTTGATGGAATGTTAGTGATGAGTCCTTTGCACCAAGCAAGTAATCAATTGAATCCTCATGTGTACCAATGAAATCTGGTCTCACGCCATTAATGTTATCATATTCCGTAATCACTGTCCGTAGTTCCTCGATATCATCAAGCATCGCAGACCAATGAGTTGCGCCGCTATGGACTGCTCCTTGAGATACACCAGCTCTCCCGGTTTGAAACACATTACCACCATCCACGATTACGGGAGCTTCCTGTGGCTGTGATAGCTGCTGCACCAATTGTTCCAAGTGTTCAAGCCTCTCTGCAGCTGACAGGCGATTTTGATCTCTACTTGGTCCGCCCTGTGATCCTTCAAAGCCTTTTTTTGAGTAGACGCAAGCAGATGCTTCGTTTCTTCGAATACAAGATGAGCAAGGAACTTTGAGATCACATTTCAACTTGCGTTTTCTGCAAACTGTGCAAGCGCGCAATTCACGATGTCTCGTGATTCGTCGTTGTTGTGTAGATTCCATTGAGATTCGTCACCTTTGGGATCCTTCATCTGCCGTTGCTAGTTCTGCGAGGTGGTCCACTCCTTGAACAGATATGTGTGTTTATCTAGAAGCTTCCTCTGCAATAGCCATGGATTTTGATAGACATTCGATGTTCGATGCTCAATATTCGATATGTGTAATAGAAGTGGAAGTTTGAGGGAGGTTGGTAAGACATAGACATCATCGCTTCCCCACACTAGTTCGGAGCTTGGACCAGCTGAATGCTAGTTCAACATGATGAAATGAAACAGGAACTTTTCGATTATCACGGTGATTTCTCAGTGTTTCTCATACAGTTATGTTTGCTCCTTGACCTTCAATGGAGGAGATATCAATTTTGTGGGAAAGGTCTCAAAGTAAAATCTTTTGATGTGTTTCTTTCCACCACACACCTTTTTATGGCCTTCCATCCTTGAATTCACATGTATTTCGACTTTTCCGCCTAGCTCAAGACCAAACTCATTCTAAAGCGTCTATTCATTAAATTTGATTCTCTTCGAACACACTTCCTTGAAGCACCAACATAAAAGGTGCTATCTAATGGTATCAATAACCTTTCCCCATCGAGGCTCAGCAATCATTCCGCTCAATTGCAATAGCTTTCTTCCGGCGCTGGATAGTAATGCGATGCGATGTAGTCACGAACTTTTTTCTGCAATTTCCATCATAAAAGCAGCGTTTGCGAAGCCTCGCGAGAATATAAAGGTTCTGGTTATGGTAGTATTTGTTGGGCATTGATCAGGCTTTTTTTGCGAATTTCCAAGTGGATGTGCAATTAAAAGTGCGGAATCTGTCTTGGTTTGCGAGAAGTATCATATCTGATCCTCTGCACAATTGCCTATCTTTAGTTTCCAGTGGGCACAGTGGGTACCTGGCGCAGAAGCTCCTTTCTCAGATATTTTTCTCATTTTATGTCACATCCCGCTGCTGTGCGTGATATTTCGGCGGTAAGATCGGTCGAAATCACAGCATTTGACCTTGTGCCCATGCATATCTGGCCCACACTCACTATTTCGCGACGAAGAGTATTTATATACACGTGCATACTATCGTGGCCGTGCAATGGAGCTGCGGAGATTTACAGCAAAGGATTAAGCATAATCCTCCTAGAGCATAGGAAGTGAAATAGAGTGAAAATAAGTCACAATTCCACATTAACGGCCAATCATTTCAATATCCTTGCGAAGCATTGCGTGGTTATCTTTTACCGATTTCGTCTGGAGGATTAAGCATTCCTTCCACCTTTGACTATCTCCATCCTTCACGTAAAACCGTATCTATGGATAAATGGCTAGCATCTTTCTTCCCGGTATTGGATGTTTCGGGCACGAACAGAACACTTTCCCATCAATCAGGGTACCAATAAATCAATTGTCCCTACATGCAAAGCCGTTAGTTGGTGGCAATTGTAGTTACTCACTAGGGCCTCAACCTTTTCGGGTGATATATGTGACGAGCAGAATTATCCAAGCCTCTCAGATCACGTGCAGATATGTAAATCCATATTGTTTCGGGTTTGTTTATGTCAAACTTAGTTTATAGGTTGCTTTTGTTGCACGTCGGATTTTTATGTCAACCACGTCCTGGTCTGAAAGTGGCCTTTGATGGGAAGTTGTTGAAGATGTGCACATTTGGTGGGCCGGAAACAAGGAAAGTTCTTTTGTGAATAATTACAGCATCTTTTCAATGTCTAGTTGGGATAAAGCAAGACCTGAGAGATGATGCCTCAGATCAGTTTGCATTTGCTAGAACACAAAGTAGTACTAAAAGTTTTGTTTCATGAGCGACGAGCCCAAAGGTGGATGAAATTGACGAAGTGGAATACGTAATGTCATAGTATTGTGTGTAGCTGGTTTTGGCCACAGCCAGTCTTCACTTTTATCACTTTTAGAGCACTCCCAAAGATGTCATTTTTGATACACACCTCTCTCTTCTATACCTCTTGCAGTTGTTGGTCTGCTCAACCTTTGCTATTGTATTTTCCATACTTCGTGTATATCAGCTGCATTTCTCAAATCCAAGTGCGCAGTCCACTCGATAAGCTAGGATTGTCCCATGTTGCAGCTTCTTCTCTTATTTGCTGGAGAAGTCTTGGTCATAAAGAAGACTTACATAACATCTTTATTGGAAATGATTTTGTGGTTATCACACTGTCTCTTTTCGCTTTTTTCGCTCTATACCCTCTCCCCTTTCCTCTCTTATCCTCGTAATAAATACAAAAACTGAGAATTGTAGGACATCTACCTTCTCTCTTTCCACTTCTCTCTCACTATATACACCGACAAGACAAATTAAGACACGTAAATAGCATCACCCATCCATTAAACCCCTATCTATAACCTTACATCTAAGCATAAATATTAGAGTACTCGCTTACTCATCTACACATAACTCCCCTAACTCATATTTCCCAACATGGCACTAAAACAGTTTCTCAAAACGGATACAATAATCTATACAACAAAGGAGAGATTGAATCACGAAGAATAAAGCTCAAAACATACTTTCCTATCTAGGGAATTTAAAATCTTATCTCGAAATTGAAACTGGGAGAGAAGTAGAAATTGAAACTGAAATCGCATATCGTTCTTTCTCTGTTTGAAAGATAGTGCACTAGGTACCCACACCTTCCTCGAGTGGAAAAAATTGATAGCCAAGAAGGATATCATCTCGAATCCTGTCTTTATTCCCTCCCAGCTTTGTGAATATTTATTTTTTCCACCAATTCTTATTCGTTGGTACCATTTTTATATTCATAGACCTATCATAAGCTAATTTAACCACTTCCATAAATAAATACTTCTCAGTCTTCATCTTTCACAATGGATAAGCCACCATCAGGAAAAGAAGAGTCAACTACTGCGTCTCAATCAGATGAATCCCGGACTCATGAGGTAGAAGTCAAGAGTTCTAATGGAACCAATAAAAATCATGAGCGTTACGAGGGATTAATATCAAGATACCACAAACAAATTTGCAAAGAACAAACTTCGACAGATACACGAAGGGATTTAGAAAAAAAGTTCGATGTAAAGACAGGAAGTTCAACTGATGGGATGGAAGGACGTGGATCAGCAAAATATCAAACAATTCCAAATCGAGCGAACATAAACCACCGACAAACTAAGTCGAACCCAGAATCGATGACGGTACGAGTAGCTCGAGCACGTAGGAATGCAATGTTTGAAGGGTCTGAAGGGTCAGAAGGGGTGGATGATTCAAAGACCACAAGAGTGACCATGGGATCGGGTAAACATGGCTTAGTTTCGGCTGATTCAGGAGGACTGCTTGAACCATCATATCCTTCAGTATCCTCGCCGATTACAATACCGCCACGTGTAGTTCTACCACCACATCATGTTGGATCCGAGGGAGTATATCGTGATGCAACCGGGTTATCTTCGAAAATGTCGGCTCCTGAGGAAAGCAAATCCCGCACCACCGCTTCTGAAAGTCCAAAGTATAAGCTACAGGTGGATGCTTCGTCCTTTGGTCATACCGTGGGGAAGATGCGTACCCCGAGGAGTATGTCTGATGGATTTGGAGCGACAGTGGCCATGTACAATAAGCTGAAAGATTTGTCAGTGGAACTGGAACAGAACAAGGGCGAGGAGCGAGTTGGTAAGATGAAGAGAAAGACAAAGAATGCGGGGATGAAGGATGATGCGAAGAAGAATCGATAGAAGGAGGCGAGGTCACTTTGGGAGTATAAGCGAGCATTGCTGATATATCTTCTGATTCGGTTCTTGTCAGCGAAACATCGATAGACTTTCAACTCTATAGTATGTAATTACTTCTAGCGGAATTGAATATAGAATTTTTAAAATATTCTGATAATCGCATGGCTGACCTACTTAGTATCTAGTTTATCTCTTTCGATTCTTCAATAGAAATAGGTACAAATAGTAGTTTCTTTAGTTCCTCCTTCATGTAACGCCACATCTTCTCAATCTTATTGAGCTATGACGAAGGGGGGTTGTATATTTAATAAACAGTAGCGAAAAAAAATCGAATGTAGGAAGAATCACTGGAGACACTTCCGGGAATACTTCAGAGAAAGTCATCGAAGACAGAGAAGAAAGTTTTTCAGAGGAATTCACAACGAAAACAACGAGAACAAAAGAATAGATGGGTATGAAGCAGTCGTGAATAAGAATGAGATCAAAACGGGGAGTATTCAGAGTGAGCTGTCCGACCCAGCAATATTTGATATTTGGATACTGGTTCCGGAGTTGAGAAAGAAACTAATTAATTTTTCTCTTCGTTTGGTTCAGAATTGCTACATTGGTAATTTTTTAGACGTTTGAAATAAAGAGTCTGATGTGTGAATTCAGCGAGGGAGGAATTATTAAGAGAGAGTAAGTGTTGACCTCCTGGGATCTTGGCAGCATATGCATATATATTGCATGATGCATATAAGGAGCAAACAAAACTCAACTTTTAATTCATTCTTTCCTTTTCGGTATACTGTTTGTTTGCTTTCAATATTTTGATTTCAAAGCACTTTAATTCCGAAGGCTGAAGACCTAACCTTATTCCTTCATTTTTTTGAATATATACTCGCAGCTTAACTGCTTAGCTAGAGAATCAATCAATTCAATCTGGTGCTCTTTCTGGTCTCAAGAAACCCAATAGTAAGGGATTAAATTAATGTTGCGATCAAATTAACGTTGCGATCTGTTATTTTAGACAGTGAACTGGAGAGGATACTAGCCTTGGAATATCATGATCAGAAAGATGGAAAAGAGAATGGCATCTTGTGGTACCACTTTTGGCCTTCGTTTTAATGTTGCTAATTCAGACTCAATCTCATTTAAATTTTAGGTAAATCAAATGCTGAATTTCGATTTTGATATTCTAGCCTAATAGTTATGAAATCATTAATTGCTGAAATTGAAAGAATTGGGAAGATCCGAAAGGGGGAGGGAGGTCTTCTGAACACAATATACTTCTTCGCACCGAAGGCCTACCAATAGTTTGATACCGGAAGAACTCAACAAAAAGAATACACACCAAGTAATCTTAAACTTTTTTTTTAGATAGGTTCGACAAATGGGTTAAGATTCGAAATGTTCAAATCGATATCCCGATGCTTTGTCAATCTCTCTCATGTCGGAATATCTGAAATTCCGACCTCAGTTGACCTGAAATCTCGCGTTCTCGTGATTATGTAAACAAGCTATGAGTTTAAAACAACTACACAAAACTTCAATCTAGGTCTGGGTGACGAGCTTTGCAAAATTATCTTTGAGGGAGTAGTAGAAACTCCATCATCCTTGCTCCCTCGTCTTTTCGGCTGAATCATAATGTAAAGTTTGATACATCTTGATTCTCAGAAGGTTCGATAGGAGGAATGTGTGCTGTAGCTCGGATTGTGCTGAACGTTTGTTTTTAGTGGTGATATATATTGTTGCTGAACGTCAAGATGACGAAGGATACTAGTTGTATTTGTATCTTCGAGATATGCTTTTCTTTCGAGTACAGCATCGAATAGATCGATATAGCCTGATAATTTCACTCTATAGTACAGAACCGATATCAGCTAAGCATATACCCATTACACCTAGCATGCATTATATGATTAGTTTGGAGACATGCAGGTCAAAGTGCACCTGTATGATTGAAGCATCCTTAATAATCTTTCTCTCTTCAATAATTATACTTTAATCTTTTACAGCTAACGCCCGCTCTTTCCTCTCATTCAAAATATCGTTATACAATCATAATTTCCCTATCGCTATTGATAGTAACGATAGGTACGTGCTTTGAGGCATTAAATAATGGTATATTTGTACATATGAGCTGAACCACCACCCTCCCACCCCCGCCCCCTCTTCTTCTCCCTTCCCCTCCTTTCCCCTCCCTCCCAAAGTTTGGAGATCTCTATTGTTTTCGTTGTTTCTCTTCCTGATCTATTTTCAAGGAAATGTTTTCTAATAAAGACCTTTATGTATTTGAAGTTGCCCTTTCCTTTTGTTTTCTGATAATAAGAATGAATTTAAAGATAATAAGGATAATCTTGATAGGGTTTGATTAATGGAAAACCTAACTGATCAATCTTTTGTGAAAAAGAAATATTAAGGTAAATGTCTCCGGAATGGAATAGAGTGATTGGTCTAGAAGTGAATATTGTAGTTTCTACAGCTTATTCAGACCTAGGGTATGATAATTAACTCTCATGTGACCGTTTTCAAAGATTGATGTTTCTATATATTAAGTCTAGTACCCCCTTTCTGGGCCACCCTTAATATAGGCCACCCTTTTACACCAAAAATCATCATTTTCGATTATTAATAACTTTGTAATCAATCAATAAAATTTAACAAAATTTAAATTAGAGATTCATTATATAATTATTAATAAATTCTAAAAGTTTCAGATTTATAATAATTGATTTCATTGAAATTTGAAAGATTAAACTTTTGAGTTTTTAATTTGTATAGAATTTATATATAAATTTGAAAAATCTTTAAAATCTTAAATAACTTGTTACGAGGTTTGCCGTCTAGATCACGTGGAAGTGCTCTAGGCTCTCGAGGTGGTTTATAACTAGGCGTCAAGCAGGGACTTAAGTAATGACAAATAATGATATGCAATTCGTAACCAATAGTAGAGTATACTAAATGATTGATCTTGAGCACGAAGCTCTATACAAAGGAAATCCATCTTAATTATATAGACCTCCATGCTTCATGGCTCGAAGGGAGCTGTAACGATACTGTACTGGAGGCAGCGGCTGCCTAAGGTTTCGTCGGATTGGTAGTTGTGGGTTAAGGCTTTATCACTGGTATTCACTTGGAAGTGAATTCGTTACTAGGTCAAGTAGAATGTAGGTAAACTAATTGATAACCAAGTTGAGCACAAAGCTCTTAAACTATAAAACTATTCTAACTATATACTAAACGTTTCTCTGAATGCTAGCTCTGCTAGCAGGCTAGCAGAGCTATCACGTCACGTGATCTCCTATTGGCCTCAGGACACTAATCCTGGGACGATTCTCATCTTAGGATAATATTAGATGTGGTTCGTGACAAGGAGCGAGGGGATCGAGCTTCGATCCTTTCGCTCTCCTCGATCGAAGGGCTCGAGAGGCCAAGCCTTCGAGCTCTTCGAGTCTTCGCGTCACGTGTTATTACTAATCTCGTGACCTAATTGTTACCTGTCGTAACAATATTATTTTATATTATTTTATATTATATATTAAAATTAATAAAAAAAAATATTATTAAAAAAACTAATTATAAATATAATTTTGTTACGACGGCTATCTTCTACGCCGAGTCACATGACTAAACCAAGGTAACGTGATTAAGTCACGTTATGGACCGCTGCGCGGTCCTGACTAGCCATAGGCATGAAGGTCTATATAATTAAGATGGATTTCCTTTGTATAGAGCTTCGTGCTCAAGATCAATCATTTAGTATACTCTACTATTAGTTACGAATTGCATATTTGTCATTACTTTAAGTCCCTGCTTGACGCCTAGTTATAAACCACCTCGAGAGCCTAGAGCACTTCCACGTGATCTAGACGGCAAACCTCGTAACAAGAATCAATCAACAGAATCCAGGATCCAGGATCCAAGAACAAATAAACAAATCGGATAAACCTAAAGCCTACTCATTACCGAAGAATACCCATTATCCCACTCCATCCCATCCCATCCCATCCCATCCCATCCCATCCCACATATCAATACGGGGGCGGGGAAGAAAAAAATCTGGAGCTCGCTCGTTCATTCGTTCATCCATTCATTCCCAGTTTATTGGAAAAAGGCTGTTTTTACTTTTTACTTTTATTTTTATTCTTATTTTGCAACCACAACGCCGTAGATTTTCCCGGGAAACCTTGTTAAGCGGGGTTTTTTTTCCCTTCCCACGATGAATTACCTAGGTAATATTTGTCTTAATGTTAAATGTCCATGCGGGACGGAAATGATGGAGATGGAGAAGGAGAAGATTACTTGGGACAAGACATTTTATTTTTGTAATCGGACCGATGATTTCTGCGATGTTTGTTTAGGGATGGAGTGAGTGAGTGAGTGAGTGAGTAATAAGTAAGTAGGTTTGGAGGCGAATAGGACCTAGGTCTATACGGACAGAAGTATACTACTTACTATACACTAGATTAGCGTGGAGCTGGGGAAATACTACCTAGGTAACGTGTTGAACTTGAACGGCGGGGTCGGATACGAGGGCTTTTTTGATGTGATGTGAGGATTTTGAATTTTTTATTTATTTATGTCCGGGTTGTTAGGAGTTAAGATACTTACTTACCTGGTAGTTACTTACTTTCCTGGGTAGTAGGGATTTAGAGGTCAGTAGGTATGATAATTTTTTGGTCGGAAAGCTGGAATTGATTGCAAAGCTCAGATTGATTGGAAAGCTGCCAAGCTCGGCTATTGATAGTTTGTTTGTCTGCTGCGGTCTACATACCTGGATAATATCCCTACCTATAAAAAGATGGGATGGTGGATGATGGAGAAAGAAAAAGAGAATTAGAAGGCGGAGTGAATTATTGTTCCTAGTGTGTCTTTTCGGTATTGCCGATCCGAAGTTGTGATCCTTGGATGGGTAAGCAGGGCTAAGGTAAAATGGTAGATGTTTTGCGAGTGTACCGGAGTAGTTTTGTCGTTCTCGTTCTTTTGTAAGATCTTAGCTGGAAGGAGTTGTGTGTTGTGTTGTGTTGTGTTTGTGGACGGGGTGAGAATGGGGGTTGATGGATTGTGGGTGGATTGTGGATCTTGGGGTGAATCTTGGATGTTGATGTGGATGATCAAACTCCAGAGGAAAGGAAGAATTCTAGAACTTCTTTGGGATTCCCCTGTTGATCTTTTCTTAGTGTTCACGTTGTACTCTGGACGGAGCATGGTAGGTAGAGTGGATAGATGAATGGTAGGTGAATAGTAGATAGAGAAGTGAGTAGATGATAGGTAGCCAAATTCATCACTATATGAATTCTATAATGCTCGTCTTGCAGAGTCGTTCCAAACCTAATCAAGAGTAATATTCCTCAGATCATCATCATCATCATCCCGTAATAAAATCTCACAGTCCTCTTTCCCGCACTACTTCTAAGCCACATCGAAGAAAGAAAAGAAGAAAAAAATCCAGTAAAAAATGTTGAAAAGGAAAAAAAGTCAATTAGGCTCAGAAAGTGGAGAATTGATGAATCATCCAACAACTCAATGTATCCGATCATTACTCGCCTGGTATTTTGTGCCCACTACCCAGGGAGCCAGCTGACAGTTTGACAAGCGGGTTTGTGTGGTACCGTCCCCGCCTTTTCCCCAACTCCCGAGGAATTTCCGAGATCGTGGTGGGTGGGTACGCGGGTCAGTTAAGACTTTGTGGGGTTTGTGCGGAGAGAGAGGGATGAAAGGATGAGGGATGAGATGGGATGGGATGAGGGAGGACTAAAATCTTAGTTTGAAGAGTTTTCATGGTTGAGAGGTTTTTCCGAGAGAGTGTATTTATTTTATTGTATTGTAGCGAATTGAAATGAAGTGAATTTTTCAAATTACATTATTATTGTTTGTTCCCTGGTTTGTTTGAGAGCAATGACAAGTACTGATTTTTGTTTCTGTATTTTGGATGATGAAGCTTGGTGATTCTTATTATTTGGGTGATGAGGATAGATACTGTACTGTAAAGACGGAATAATGTGAGTTCGGAATAGTATGAATATGGCATAGTGTGAGTATTGCTTGGAGACGCATGGACAATGGGGGGATGCCATATCTACACTTATTAATTCCTATAATACTCAGACCTAGTAAACAACATATTTGTATGTGCAGGGAAATGTTTCTTGGGAATTTTTGTTCACCGTTTCTTCGGGTCGGGTCTCTATTACGGATAGAACTTCCGGGCAAGCGTCATCTTTAATTTACATACATGCCTTTCCCCGTGCCCAAGTATACCTGGTCCCCACATATTACCGTGAGTCGCTTTCAAGAAGATTTGTCTGGCTATCATCAAGCTGCAGGATTGTTGTGATGGTTTTTAGGAATATAATATATAATATATGATATATTACATGATATATTACATATAACATACACTCATAAACTTACAATCTGATAATGTCAGATTGACATTATCGACCCCCATCCCAAGCCCAAGTTCAAGCCCAAATCTAATATCCAGGAACTCAGGGACTCAGGAACTTAGCACGTCTTTCCATTGAATGGAAAATTGAAGATCTTCCCCTCTTTCGACAACACTAACAACAGCACTTGGCTGTAGGTAATTAAGACTAAGTAAGACTTCATGCACGTCGTCTGATAATCATAGACCACCGGTACTATTACTTGGCTTTTTCATCATACAACATTTCGACCAGAGTACCACTACCCTATCTAGCTTACTGGGGAGGGTGGCTCTTAGCCTTCCCGCAAATACTGGGGAAGCTCTACGGAGTAACTCTTTTCGTACTTCCTCTCCTTCTTGGTATGCGGCCCCATCTTCGATTATCATGACAAACGATCCACGAGCGAGAAGATGGCAAAATGTAAGATTACAATCCACAGACATATATAAAGTATCTGATGGTCCCGAAATATTTCATGACTTCACTACCATCATATCTTTCCTCATTTTTTTTGAGACTATACCCAATAATTTAATTACATCACCAGTTATTATCATTATTGGTGGTAGCCCTCCCTCAATATGCGGTATTCACTAGTCGTTGCCGGGTTACTGGCTGCAGCTACTCCCAGTCAACAAGCAACTACATCACATCGCACAAAACAATCACGACAGGTTTGTCACTCCCTTCCATAACACTTTCCTCCCTTCTTTTAGCATTCCACGAACCATCTTTTTCTGCACAACTACCAACTGCATGAACGCAAAAATTAATCATTCTTTTCTCGATCACTACTTTTCATGATTACAATCATTTAATAAATTATTCTACACTCTCACCATCATGAAGAGTCTGCTGGATCTCATCCTTGTTCTTACCGGTGTAATAAATGGTGATAGATCGTTACTAACTCTTGGTACACAGTCCGTAAATGCTACATATCCTGGCGGAGTCGACCCTGCTGCTGAAGCCGGTGCGCTCTTCGGTCAAACTAGTGATCCATTCTATCCTTCACCATGGATGAGTCCAAATATGGGTGGTTGGGAGGATGCTTATGTCAAGGCCAAGGATTTCGTTTCTCAACTTACGCTGATGGAAAAGGTTAACTTGACTACCGGTGTTGGGTAAGTTTGTGAATCTTTGATATCAATGAAATTAAGGCTGATGATCATTTAGTTGGGAAGGTGAACAATGTGTTGGTCAAGCAGGATCGGTTCCTCGACTTGGTCTCAGATCAATGTGTATGCAAGATTCACCAGTGGGTGTTCGTGATACCGACTTCAACTCGGTATTCTCTAGTGGTCAATCTGTTGCAGCCACTTTCGATCGTGGTTTGATGTACGCTCGAGGTTATGCTATGGGTAAGTTTTACTTTTTAATGATTGGTTCATACACCTGATTTGACCAAAGCTAATCAATTCGATAGGCCAAGAACACAAAGCAAAGGGTGTGACTGTTCAACTTGGTCCAGTTGCTGGTCCTCTCGGTCGTTCGCCACAAGGTGGACGCAACTGGGAGGGATTTAGTCCAGATCCTGTCTTGACAGGTATTGGAATGGCTGAAACCATTAAAGGTATTCAAGATGCTGGTATTATTGCTTGTGCTAAGCATTTCATCGGTAACGAACAAGTATGTACACCTTTTCTCTCCCGTCATAAATGTATTGCATACTTTTAGTTTTGGTAACTAACATAAATTCAGGAACATTTCCGTCAGGCTCCCGAAGCAATTGGCTACGGTTACAACATTACCGAATCCTCTTCATCAAATATTGATGATGTAACTATGCATGAAACTTACCTATGGCCATTCGCTGACGCCGTTCGCGCTGGTGTTGGTTCCATCATGTGTTCTTACAACCAAGTCAACAACTCTTACTCTTGTCAAAACTCCAAGATGCTCAACAACTTACTCAAGGAGGAGCTTGGATTTCAAGGATTCGTTATGAGTGATTGGCAAGCTCAACATAGTGGAGCATCTTCAGCAGTAGCTGGATTAGATATGACCATGCCCGGTGACACTGTTTTCAACAGTGGAGAAAGTTACTGGGGAACCAACCTCACATTAGCAGTCATCAACGGCACTGTTCCAGAATGGAGACTTGATGATATGGCGATGAGAATCATGGCTGCCTACTTCAAGGTTGGTTTAACTCTCGACGAGCCAGAGATCAACTTTTCCTCATGGACTCTTGATACATACGGACCACTCCACTATGCCGCCAACAAGGACGTTCAAAAAATCAACCACCATGTCGATGTTCGAGGAGATCATGGAAAGTTGATCAGAGATATCGGAGCTCGATCAACTGTTCTTTTGAAGAACACCAAAAATGCGCTTCCTCTTTCAAAGCCCAAATTCCTTGCTGTTATCGGACAGGATGCTGGACCAAATGCTTACGGACCTAACGGATGCTCTGATAGAGGTTGTGATAATGGTACTCTTGGTATGGCTTGGGGTTCGGGCTCATCAAACTTCCCTTACCTCATTACTCCAGACACCGCTCTTCAAAACCAAGCAATTGCCGATGGCACTGTTTATCAAAGTATCTTGGATAACTATGCTACATCCCAGATTGAGGCACTTGTTAGCCAAGACGTCACAGCCATCGTTTTTGTGAACGCCAACTCCGGAGAAGGATATATCAGTGTTGATGGAAATGAAGGTGACCGCAACAATCTTACTCTCTGGCATTCTGGAGACGCATTGATCCAAAATGTTTCTGCCATTTGCAACAACACTATCGTCGTTATTCACTCTACTGGACCTACTTTGGTTGGTGATTGGTATGATAACGAGAACGTTACTGCAATCTTGTGGGCTGGTGTACCAGGACAAGAAAGTGGAAACAGTATCACTGATATTCTGTATGGAAAGGTCAACCCTGCTGCACGTACACCATTCACATGGGGTCCAACCAGAGAGAGTTATGGTGCTGATGTTCTCTACGATGCCAATAACGGGGAGGGTGCACCGCAAGTCGATTTCACTGAAGGAAACTTCATCGACTACCGTGCATTTGATCGCCAAAACATTGACCCAATTTATGAATTTGGTTTCGGTCTCTCATACACCACATTTGACTACTCTGAGCTGGTTGTCACCAAGAATACCAACGCAAGCAGCTTCTACACTCCTTCATCTGGATTGACTCAAGCTGCTCCAACTTTTGGAAACTTCTCTAAAAATCTCGATGATTATCTCTTCCCCAATGGTTCATTCCCATACGTCTACCAATACATCTACCCATACCTCAACACCAGCGATGCCGCCGCCGCCTCCGCAGATCCAAGATACGGACAAGAAGCCTCTGAATTCCTCCCACCAAACGCCGCCAACGGTTCTCCTCAACCCATTCACGCAGCAGGTGGTGCACCAGGTGGAAACCCACAACTCTACGATGTCCTCTACACTGTCACAGCACAAATCCACAACTCCGGAGATATCGACGGTGAGGAAGTTCCTCAACTCTACATTAGTCTCGGTGGACCAAATGATCCAGCAGTCGTATTGAGAGGTTTCGAAAGACTTTCCATTCCTGCTGGTTCGACTGCTACTTTCCGTGCCGATTTAACGAGAAGGGATTTGAGTAATTGGGATACAGTGGCTCAGAATTGGTTTATTAGTGATTATACCAAGAAGGTTTTTGTAGGATCTAGTTCGAGGAAATTACCTTTGACTCAGGATTTGGCTTGAGGATGAGGGGAAGAAATGAGAATGGGGAAGAAATGAGGAAATAGATTCGAGATGTTACTTAATACTTGATGATTGGGGGATAGATTGGATGGCTTGGGTTTACTTTTACCATTTTTGGGGGTATGGTTGTGTAATCTTACGTACGTACATAGTTCATGAAGTTATGATTTTTGATAGATTATGATTATGTATTCGCATGCAATGGATTGTTGATTCTGAGATGTTTTGATATTTTGATTCTTTGATTCTTTGATTCTTTAATTCTTTGATATTTTGATGTATGTATCGAATGGGTTGGTTGATTGGCTGGTAAAGGGGTTTAGCAAGGGAGTAGATGAATGTAATTTTTGATTATGGGTTTACTTTGATATAGATTTACTTTGATGTTATCACAATGATAGATAGGTATTTAGATAATATAATGATATTTTATAAACAAGAAAAGAAAATACTAAAAGAAGTATCAATTATATAGAATATGAAAGCCGTATGTATTTATATGTTACGATAGTAACAACTGACTACTTAGTAGAGCTTGGGCCTTGTGCAAAAGCGATCAGATTTCATCGAATTAATATGTGATCTGGGTCATTTTAGGATCGTATGCGCACGCACTGTCAGAAAACACGTGACTTGGAGCTTTTGGAGCTTGAGGATCCAAAAGGATCCAAGGAAGCATGAATATCTATATAATCAAGACTGATTTCCTTTGTATAGAGCTTCGTGCTCAAGATCAATCATTTAGTATACTCTACTATTAGTTACGAATTGCATATCATTATTTGTCATTACTTAAGTCCCTGCTTGACGCCTAGTTATAAACCACTTCGAGAGCCTGGAGCACTTCCACGTGATCTAGACGGCAAACCTCGTAACAAGCGATTTCAGAATTGGATCCTTTCTTAATTCGCTTTGCTAATATACTTTCAATTATTTTTTCAAAATAAACCAAACTCCTTTTATATCATTTCAATTACATTGCTTTCATTATGATCAACAAACCGAAACGAAGATCTGAACGATTGAATAGACGAAAAATGACATTGCTAAATAAAGCATATGAGATATCAAAATTTTGTGAAGTCGATGTCGCTTTGATCTTACGTATTCGCAAAACTGGCCAGTATATAACTTATAATTCTACTGATCTCCAATCATGGCCACCTTCTAACGAAGAGATCGTAAGTTATTAATTGCTTGAAAAGGCTATTATTATTATATTAATAGAATAACAGCGATCATCTTATCCGCTTCCGATAAACTTACTTTCGAAGGATATGGAAGCTGAGTATAAAAAGCCATCAACTCGTGTTTCGAATACGACAGAGAATTCAATCACGATTACTTGATGTCGTCGCGACGGACTTGCTCGATAAGTGTCTTATTGTTGTGGAAGTAGAACTAAAAAGATCAAAATGTTCTTCATTTTGATGTGGTTGGAGATTTGAGATAAGATCCGATTAGAGATTTTCGCAACCAATCAAAATTGAAATTCAGAAACCACGGGTTTTCATAATCTTACAGTGATTGGTGATGTGATGGCAGTGACTAAGCTATCTTAGCGAGCGGAAGAATACCTAACGTGTTTCATCACCCCGTGCACCATATCACCTCGTGCACCACTTTCACCTCAATTCACATCAATCACTTCAATACGCGATTTATCAATAAATAATTATGGTATCGACATTAAATGGACGCGATATCGTTATGGCGATGGAGGCAATGGCTAAAGATAAAAATTTAAGCCTCCGGAAAGCTGCCAAGATTTACAATATTACTCATACGACACTCATGCGTAGAATGAAAGGGATCACTCCTGCCTCCGAATATCGTCAAAAACAGCATAAAATTACTAAAATTGAAGAGGAGGTTATTATTCAGCATATAATCGATATGGATGAGCGAGGATTTAGTCCTAAATTCATAAGTGTTGAAAGTATGGCGAATCACATTCTTGAATCGAGGGGTGGAAAGCGTGTTGGTAAACAATGGGCATATCGATTCGTGAATCGACACAATATTCTAAAAACGCGTTTTAATCGTGCCTACGACTTCCAAAGGGCTCTCTGCGAGGATCCTAAGCTTATTAATAAGTGGTTTCAACTATTCAAAAATATAAAGGCAAAATATGGAATACAGGAGTGCGATATATGGAATTTTGATGAAACAGGCTTTATGATGGGAGTGATATCCTCTAGTATGGTTATTACTACTGCAGATAGACGTAGCAAAAGTAAAGGAATACAGCCAGGCAATAGAGAATGGTCGACAGCGATTGTATGTGGTAATGTGACGGGGGAGAACATACCTCCATATCTCCTTGTTCAAGGACAAATGCACCTAGCCAATTGGTACAGCGAGACGGATATGCCTCCCGAATAAATGGTTAAAACTACTATAAATGGATGGACGAATAATGAGATAGGTTTAGAATGACTAAAGCATTTTGATAAGCATACGAAACTCCGAACAAAGGGTGCATATCGAATGCTAGTCTTAGATGGATATGAAAGCCATGAATCAGGCCCTTTTCAGAACTATTGTATAGAACATAAAATTAAAGCCGTCGGATTACCACCTCATTCGAGTCATCTCACCCAACCTCTTGATGTTAGTTGTTTTAGTGTGCTAAAACGCGCATATAGCAAGCAAATTGAGGGGTATATACGGATGCATATCAATCATATCTCCAAAATCGAATTCTTTATAGCATTCAATGCTGCATACGAACAAGCAATTACAATGGAGAATATGAAAGCAGGCTTTAGAGGAGCAGGATTAGTCCCTTTTAATCCCGATGCTGTACTCTCTAGAATGGATATTCGAATCCGTACACCTACTCCTCCTTCGCTTCCTCCGAGTCATATGCCCGGTTGGGTCTCACAAACACCTCACAATGCCACCGAAGCTCTTTCACAAGCATTTTTAGTACGATCTATTATTGCTCGGCATCATTCTAGCTCTCCTACACCTATATTTAAGGCTACAGATCCTTTAATTAAGGGTGTAGAATACCTAGCTAGTACTGTCACGATTTTAGCTTTTGAGAATCACGATCTTCGATTGGCAAATACGGGATTAAGTAAACGTCGACGCGCTAAAAAGACTCAATTACGTTTAGGAGGAGCTCTCACTATTCAAGAGGCTAATGATATTATATCACAAAAAGAGGTGGATGTTCAGATTAAACGCGATAGGCAACAAAATGGGCGGAATTCTAATAGAGAGGCATCGACTAATCGATGCTGTAGTAAATGTGGAATAACAGGTCATAATGCAAGAACATGTTCTAATGATAATATAGATCCTAAATTATTAGATAGTGCTTAGTTTAAATCAATTGATCAAGTAATTGTTGAATTATATATGATTATAAATAGGAATTGAGGTGAAAGTGGTGCACGAGGTGATATGGTGCACGGGGTGATGAAACACGTTATCACAATGAGGAATCTTACTTCGATAGGATTCCTTAATTACGTGCCTTCGGATAAGACTCGATGTCTGTGCTTACTGAAGGTAGGGAGACCTTACGCAGCAGAATAAGCAGGTATACTATACAAATTTGCTGTGCTTTTGTCTACGGTCCAAGCTCATATAGACAGATAAGCTGTTACTTCGTAACATGATGCTGTGTCTTTGAATGAAGTTGATGGTTGGTCAAATCGTATTGGTTCGGGATATATTACTCCTGATACCTTACTATCTCAGGAAATTGAGGAGGGAGTATTCAAAAAGCCAAAGAAAAAATGTCGACAATAAATAGCCCTATCAGAAAGGAGTTTGAGAATGTAATGATAGTAATGTAAATACTAAATGATTGATTCTGAGCACGAAGCTCTACAAAAGGAATTCGTGCTGAATATATAGATCTCTATGCTTTATTGTTCTTCCTGAAGTCGATAATCGACATCGACCGTCGACTTTGCATATGACTCTTACTAATGCGTGATCATACGAATCGAGGTGATCAGAACCTATGATAAGGGTTTCTGCTCATGGGGAGACGCTATGAAGCAGAGAGGGCCGAATTACCATACTAATTCGGTAACATCTTCTGCGCTTTTTCTCTTGGTCCAAGCTCCTCTTATCGGGTTATCTGTTACCACGTAACATTATCCTTGGTTTTATTAGGCAAGATACTCGTAACAGATAAAAAGCCTAAGAAAACTCCCCCTAAAATAGCTTGATATCAAAATAAAAAAAATAAGAATTGACTATGAACAAAGTGTAGAATTTGAGCCATCCTAATTAGAAGATAAAGAAACTTATAGAAAGCTTGAGAATTAAGAAAAGGACTTCTGTAACGGAAACCCCTACTTTCCTCCCACCTTTATATAAGAAACCTCGAATACATTAATCATGTTCACACATGATACGATTACTCAGGATTAGTATGCGATTTAGGTAGTCTAAAGATCAGATCCAAACAAGTACTATGTACCAATAGTTATCGATAAGGTAAGATCATTGAAGGGATAAATATGACTTCTTTTTGCCTAGCCATTACGGCTAGGCCATTCATTCGTGTGTATATAGAGTAGCTATCCCCATCTACAGGTGCTCTTCACCTGTAAATTCTAAGTTAAATACAATTGCTGGTCTACAAACACCCTTTTGGTCACAACTTCCAAAAAACCCGTTTTCCATTTTCTCGTCTTAGTATTGAAACTCAGTTAGTAGGATTGTGGTTAAATGAAAGATCCCGTGGATTAACCAATGTATTTTCATCGTAAATATCAGATGATTGAGGTGGGTATGATGATTGGGGTGGATATGATGATATTTGGTGACGATGATATAGAGGATTGCTCGAAGATGACGGTGCAAGTGTTGTGGCTGTAGATGATGACAGTGTACTCTGATACGAGATCGAAGGTAAATGAAACGAAGGATTTATTGCTAATGAATTATTGTAAGGAATTTGGTAAGGAGTAGTATATGATTGTGATGATATTGGATACTCATATCCTATTTCTGTTTCAGAGAAAGTTCTTTTGCGATTAAGATTCTCGGGACAATATGGAACCGCTTGTGTAATTGATTCGTGACTGCCGATTTTACCCGAATAGTCACGTGGACAGGCAGTAAAGTGTACACCATGTTCAGAATGATAGGAAACTACCAATGTTAATAATTTCTCTTGAAACCCTCATATAAAGAAACTCACTTACCTAAATGAGGAGCAGTGCTTGTTGGAAATAAATTCTTCGAATGAATCTTCATTTCATCGATAGCCTTTAACGTTTGAAGATAATTCGTCAAGGTATCGTTGGTAATGGGATGCGATGATTCAACACCTGTACGTGGTGCATCCTACGAACCTGTAATTTTTCTTACAGAGCCAAGATTGAATCAGGCTGAAGCTGGGCAAAGGTCGTGCTTTAAAAAGGAGCGGTACTGGGAGTGAAGGTATCGTGAATTTGGCCCGGAACAGAGGACTATCAGTCGAACGGAGATGAAAACTACCCGACAATCAACGAAACAACGACGGATTTCGAAGCGGAACCACCTTTACGAATCTGCAGTGGGATACAGAGCCTGAGAATTGCTTTAAGGAGCATTTCAAAGCGGACTGCCTTTACGAATCTGTGTGGGAGCAGAGCCTGAGAAGGAAAGCGTTGTGCCGGTGATTGACAGGGCACCTCTGGGGCGCTAGCGTGCAGAATTTTCACGACCCAACAATGCGTAAAATCTGCGGGTATACCGGATTGGAAGTTTACAGGTGGTTAAGGGGAGTAATCGAGAATGTATAAAGGTTGTGATAGAGTCTTATTGAGGCCAACGGAGGTATGGGTGGATTAGGGATGGAGGGACGCTTTTGGCACTTTGCTCTACGAATGTACAAGAGCGGTATCATGGCGGCAGAGGAACTCTCGAACGAGGGGGATGCTTTTAGCAAGTTTCACTCTTCTGCGAAGCATTCGGCAGACATCACGGCAGCGGATGAGCTCTGGCAGAAGCCACCTTATGAGACACATATCCGATACGTTCTCAACCCTCCGCATTATCGATTACAAACTATACATTGGGGAAATAGACTTTGCAGGCTGTGCTTTGGTTAGTGAGCTAGAAACGTTGTATTTTTAGTTGCCTGGCTAGGGGTTAAGACACAGCAAAGCTTGCAAGATACAATCGGCCTTGTTGTGCAAGAGAGATCTGGCAAGGTAACGCGAAACGGTGCACAAGCCGCGGGGCGTAGCGTATAATGGCAGCGACAATGACACTGTCTATACGGCTCGAGAGGATGGATGCGCGTATCGGTCTACAATAGGATACAAGGCAGCTGGCAATGGAGATACCGGGTAGGCTTAGGGAGCAAACAGGATAATAGGTGTAGAAAGGTTGTTTTTGCCTGGGGGCAACCTTCTCAAAGGATATTGAGACTGACATCTTGTATCTGGGAAAGCATGGTAAGAATCGGTTACTCTTACTTATATTTGTAGTCTCACTGGATATATTGTAAAAGACTCATAGATTTGCAAATATAATATTATCACTGTAAGAAACCTTCGAAACCAGACTACTCGGCCCCAAAAGCTTATAGAGTTATCGCTTTACTAAATTGCCTAGGCAAGATAAGTGAAAGAATTCTGGCTCAAAGGCTTAGCTACTTAGCGGAGACTACGCAATTACTTCATTACTCTCAAATGGGTGGAAGACAAAAGAAATCAGCCATCGATACAGCAATCTTACTCACTACCGAAATCGGAAGTAACTCAAGATCCAAGAAAAAACCTCGACTCTCTTCCTGGATGTTAAAGGCGCCTTTGATCATGTATCTATGAACAGATTATTAGATATCTGCAAGAATCTAAACCTCCCAACCAGCCTAATCGCCTGGATCTCATCTTTTTTGAAGGAAAGGCTACTCAAGCTCTCATTCGATGGCCAAACTGAAACCTTCAAACTGATCAATACCGGAATCCCCCAAGGCAGCCCTATTTCGCCAATCCTCTTCTTAATTTATATCCGAGATCTATTTTCAGCAAATTCGATCAAATACCTCTCATATAGATGATATAGCTTTGACTACATTCTCAACATCCTGGAAAAACAACATCATCTCCCTCGAAAGAGCAACTAAACAAATATATGCTCTGGGCAAAGAAAATGCTATTCAATTTGATCTAGCGAAGACAGAACTAATACACTTCTCTACATCCAAAGATACGAAGACAGCCTCAATCAAGCTTCCGAACGAGGAGATAATTCAACCCTCAACATTAGTCAGATGGCTAGGCATATGGTTCGACCCTGGCCTCAGTTTCAAACAACATGTCACAATCCGAGCTACCCAGGCTAAAACCTCATTCTACCGAATGGCTAGACTTGCTAATTCTGAAAAAGGCCTTAATCCCAAGGCAATGAGACAGCTCTATATGGCATGCGTCACTAGTATAGCTGACTACGGTTCAATTTTATGGTGGAAAGAGCAAAACCAAATCAAGAAAACCCTTCAATCCTTGCAAAACCTCGCCCTTCGAAAAATCCTAGGAGTATTCAAAACCTCACCAATAAAACCAATGGAAATAGAAGCTGCATTGTGCCCTCCAGAAGTACGGCTAAATGCTGGAATCAAACAATACGCCTTCAGATTATTGAAAATCTCGCCCTCTCATCCTATCAATTTAATAGCTACAAAACTGGTTACAGAAAAGGAGAATCAAGATGTAGTTGCAACCCCTCGAAGAAAGCAATTGAAACCTACTCAACTCGAAAAGATCAAAAATTCAATCCAGAAAGACTTCGATCCCCTCACTTTGGAAAGAATCCATCATTTCTACTTCTATTGGGTTTATTGAGACCAGAAAGAGCATCAGATTGAATTGATTGATTCTCTAGCTAAGCAGTTAAGCTGCGAGTATATATTCAAAAAAAATGAAGGAATAAGGTTAGTGTTGGTACGAGAAGGATACGGAAGACGTAGCACCCACGGATTACGTAGGTCCTGTATGTCTAATTGTATTCTGTCTAAAGAGCTAGCTACATATTGAAAGTAGTAAGTCTTATATAGACTTACTAAAAGAGCTAGTCTCTTTCGCGTTCGCTTAGTTCTTTATTACAGTAGTAATTTAAATTGAAGTCATTCACTTCGTTCACACAGTTAGGTCTTCAGCCTTCGGAATTAAAGTGCTTTGAAATCAAAATATTGAAAGCAAACAAACAGTATACCGAAAAGGAAAGAATGAATTAAAAGTTGAGTTTTGTTTGCTCCTTATATGCATCATGCAATATATATGCATATGCTGCCAAGATCCCAGGAGGTCAAAAACTTCCCTCCTTGGAAGAAAGAAGTTCCTGTGTGAACGAAGTGAATGACTTCAATTTAATTACTACTGTAATAAAGAACTAAGCGAACGCGAAAGAGACTAGCTCTTTTAGTAAGTCTATATAAGACTTACTACTTTCAATATGTAGCTAGCTCTTTAGACAGAATACAATTAGACATACAGGACCTACGTAATCCGTGGGTGCTACGTCTTCCGTATCCTTCTCGTACCAACAGTTCCATATAGAGTCAATATCAGCAAATTAGGAAAAGAAGAAGCTGCGATGATCCACAATCTGGCTTTCAAATATAGGTGCAAAAATACCATTACAATATACACCGATGCCTCATCCACTCTAGAGGGAATAGGGGTTGGGATCGGGATAGCGGTCATCTTACCAAATGGCGGAATTTCATATCAAGAGACTATCAATATAGGCGTAAATCAGTTTGTCTATAATAATGAGCTCCTAGGAGTTACTAAAACGATTGAATACACAAATTCAATAGCCCAACTAGGGAACAAGTTCAAGATATACTTAGATAATCAAGCAGGATTATTCCGGCTGAAAACCCCCTCCGATTCACCTGGTCAATCATGCCAAATCAAAGCTATAAAAGCTGCGGAAGCTATTCAAAATAAAGGAGCCGAAATCTCTCTCAATTAGGTCCCCGGACATACATCTGTACAAGGAAACGAGCTAGCTGTTTCTCTTGCAAAAGAGGCGACCAAAATACCATCCTCATCCCACGAAACCAGTTATGCCTCCATTGGAATGGATATAATAAGAATGAAATCCGAGAACTGGACAGCCATCCTCAATACTAACAATGTTCATCAACCATTGTCAACATATTCAAGAAATTACCCTTGGAAAATCAGCTCGAAGATCGGAATTCCAGGAAACACCAAAAGAAGTATCATTAGTACTCTATTCCAACTCAAAATTGGACACGGATATTTCAAATCTTATCTTAAACGATTCGGAATCTCCACTAACAACAATTGTAGATGCGGGGAACAGGAATCTCTTGATCATCTTCTGTCCAATTGTTCCATATACAATACGGTAAGAAGATTGCTCAAAAAGGAAAATCCCAATCCCTAACTCACTATAAAATATCTACTTCATACGAAAACAGGAATCACCAAAACTCTCGAATTTATCGAAGCCACGCGGATAGCCACTAGATCATAGCATCTCAATAGAATAGAGGAAGAGATAGGAGAACAAGATGAAAGAGAAAGGGTAACCTGAAGGGCCGAAGGGTTAGAATAACCCCTTTACAACCCATATTACCAACTTTGCAAATTTGCAAAGTTAAATTATCACCCACCCAAACATTAAAACCATCCATTATCCTCAATCTGGCCGATTCTTCTGGTCAATTCAGCCAATACCTGATCACCTTGGTCAATTTGGTCGATTTGGTCAATTCATCTGGTCAATTTGGTCAATTTGGTCAATTCGGTCTATCCATCTGGTCAATTCATTCTCAATCGTGAGGTTTTACCACCCCAATTTGAATTTTACTTACTTCATTTGTCATTTTCCTTATTATATACGAAGAGTATCTGTAAGGCGGGCATGGTTCCCTAGGATTAGTTTTCACTTCCCCCATTCAAACATTAGAAGATTGAGGCTCTCAATCTCCCCAATCTGTATTAGCTACGGTCGAATAAGGCCAGCTACCCTCCATTTATTATTGTTAGAAGCCTACAAAGCTCCTAGCCGTCTTAGATAGTCATAGACTCAGTGTAGACGTTAGCTTAATCAATCAATCAATCAATCAGTGCTACCGAACGGTCACTTGTACACAAATTAGCCTCTCAGCCAGCTAATACCATTGCGGCTTACAGCCGTGCCAAAAAAAATATGGAGAGTATCTTTTCCCTAGCTATGTTGTAGATCATCGTAATAATACATATGATGGCGAGAAAGTCGGCAATACAGCCAGAAAGACAATGTAACGTCGGAGCATCCTCGCCGTGAGTCAGCTTGACCTGCATAACCCCACATTCCAAAAGGTAATAACCTTCGACACCTCACAATAGTTGTGTTGTCACACAAATTTCTCGAGATAATCTGTGATCAAGGGCAACTTCAAGATATCAGCGCTATATTGATTCCTGCTGTGTACTTTATCATTATCTGCTGGTCTCTCAACTTTGCATACTCCAAATCCTAAAATGCGCTTGCTAGAGTGCGATAATGCTGACGGATATCGGCTCACCAAAGCACTATTAGATAACAATATTCCTCCTTATGCAATTCTCTCACATACATGGGGAAGTGACGAACAGGAAGTCAATTTTGAAGATATAAACTCAGGTAATGGCAAAGCAAAAACCGGTTATGAGAAGCTCCAGTTTTGCGGAAAACAGGCTGCCTGTGACAACATCGATTATTTCTGGGTGGATACTTGTTGCATTAAAAAGACGAGCGACCCTGAGTTGAGCGAATCTTTGAACTCTATGTTTCGCTGGTATAAGAAGGCTAGAAAATGCTATGTCTATTTATCAGATGTAGAGGTCGTTCAAAATGGTGTAGAGCAACCACAAAGCGTGTGGGAAGGGCGTTTTCGGGCCAGCCGATGGTTTACAAGAGGATGGACGCTCCAAGAACTCCTGGCTCCAATATCAATCGAGTTCTTTTCACGGGATTGTTGTAGGCTTGGTGATAGGGAATCACTGAAGTTAATTATACATGAGATCACGGGAATTGCTATTGAAGCACTCCAAGGAGTTCCTTTATCGGAGTTTAATGTTGATGATAGAATGAAATGGGCGAAAAACAGAATTTCGACGAGAGAAGAAGACGCAGCATATAGCTTGCTTGGTATCTTTGGAGTATCCATGCCAGTTATCTATGGTGAGGGAAAGGATAAAGCATTCAGGAGGCTCAACAGGGAGATCGAGAGTAATCCCGATAATCCTCCCTCCCCAGATAAGCGCTGCCTAACTGATCTGTTCACTACCGATCCACGAAAGGACAAGCAACGTATCGAGGAACTGAAAGGAGGATTGCTCCTTAAGGTATACGAATGGATCTTCAAAAACGCAGAATACCAACAATGGTACAACGACCAAAGCAACCGCTTGCTATGGGTGAGAGGAGATCCTGGCAAGGGCAAGACTATGTTGTTATGTGGTATCATAGACGAAATACAGGCATCAAATAATTACACCTTAGCCTATTTCTTTTGCCAAAGCAACATCGATACTATTAATAGTGCTATCTCCGTCCTACGTGGCCTTATTTATATGCTCTTAGATGAACAGCCTTCCCTCATTCGGCATTTACAAAACGAATATGAGGTGCCAGGGAAGCAGTTATTTGAAGGTATTAATGCATGGGTGGCGCTCTCTAATATTCTGAAGAACATCTTGCATGATGAGAATTTGAAGCCGACGATCTTGATTATTGATGCACTTGACGAATGCCAAAAAGAACTGCCACAATTGCTTCGCCTAATTGTTTCGGGCTCATCCATTTCTTCTCGTGTTAAATGGCTTGTCTCAAGTCGGAACTGGCCCGAAATCGAAGAGCAGTTACAACAGACCGAGCAGGAAACCCGGCTCAGTCTCGAGTTGAATGCTGAATCAGTATCTGCTGCTGTCAGGTGGTATATCCGAGAGAAGGTGAAATATCTTGCGAGAACAAAAAATTACACAACGGAGACAAAGGATGCTATCGAACGTTATCTCCTAGAACATGCAAATGGAACTTTTCTTTGGGTGGCTTTAGTCTGTCAAAATCTTGAAAAAGCTCGATTATTCACGGATTCAAAGCTACAAGATTACCCTTCTGAACTTGATCCTTTATATAATCGTATGATGGAACAGATAGTAGGTATGGAAGATACTGAGGCGGCTCAGCTATGCCTTCAGATCCTGGCTATTGTAGTAATAGCATATCGGCCTCTTACGCTTGACGAACTAATGTCCCTGATGGAGATGAATAATGAGATTCCGCTAGAGGAAATAATACAACTTTGTGGTTCCTTTTTGGTTTCTCGTAACAGGAGTGTATTCTTTGTTCATCAGTCAGCACAGGATTTCCTTTCTAAAAAGGTTGCTGGAACAATATTTCCAGATGGAATTGGGAAAGTTCATAACAAAGTACTTCTAAATTCGATAACAGTTATGAGCAAAACTCTAAAACACGATATATACGGTTTGGGTTATCCCGGCTTTCCTATTGATAAAGTCAAACAGCCCGATCCCGATGTATTAGCTTCTATACGGTATTCCTGTATTTACTGGATTAACCATTTAAGAGATGGGGATCCTGAACAAAACAGAGAACACATTCAAGATAACGGCAATATTTATGAATTCCTCAAAAATCATTTGCTACATTGGCTGGAGGTTATGAGCTTGATGGAGAAAACTTCAGAGAGCATCAACGCAATAAGTTCTTTAGAGTCTTATGTTCCAGTGTGTCAATACTATTTGGTAGTTCTTTTAGGAATTCAGCTAATAGATAATAAAGGCTAACAAAGGTTCTGAACTCTATACTCTCATACATGACGCTAAACGCTTCGTCCTTTATAATCGAATAGGGATTGAACAAGCTCCTCTTCAAATCTATTGCTCAGCTCTTTTCTTTGCTCCAGAGAATAGTATTATTCGAAAAACATTTCAAAAATGTATCCCGAGTTGGATTTATAAAATATCAAGGACACGATCAAATTGGAGTGCCGCCCTCCAAACGCTCGAGGGTCATTCGGATTGGGTTAATTCAGTTGCCTTCTCACCAGATGGTACAAAGGTAGCTTCAGGCTCTTATGATCGGACGATCCGGCTCTGGGATACGATCACGGGCGAATCGCTTCAAACGCTCGAGGGTCATTCGCATTGGGTTAATTCAGTTGCCTTCTCACCAGATGGCACAAAGGTAGCTTCAGGCTCAGGCGATCAGACGATCCGGCTCTGGGATACGATCACGGGCGAATCGCTTCAAACGCTCGAGGGTCATACGCATTGGGTTAATTCAGTTGCCTTCTCACCAGATGGCACAAAGGTAGCTTCAGGCTCAGGCGATCAGACGATCCGGCTCTGGGATACGATCACGGGCGAATCGCTTCAAACGCTCGAGGGTCATACGGGTGGGGTTAATTCAGTTGCCTTCTCACCAGATGGCACAAAGGTAGCTTCAGGCTCTTATGATCGGACGATCCGGCTCTGGGATACGATCACGGGCGAATCGCTTCAAACGCTCGAGGGTCATACGCATTGGGTTAATTCAGTTGCCTTCTCACCAGATGGCACAAAGGTAGCTTCAGGCTCAGGCGATCAGACGATCCGGCTCTGGGATACGATCACGGGCGAATCGCTTCAAACGCTCGAGGTTCATTCGGGTTTAGAGGTATCCTCAGCCTTTGAACAGTACTTTAAGTCAAACCATTGGATAGCTGAAAGATTAGATGAAGAAGTGCGAAATATTTTTTGGCTACCTCCAGACTATCGACCAACTAGTACATATTTTTGTAACGGAGTTATAGTCATGGCATTTTCCACCGGTGGCATTTTTCTTCTGAAATTTGAGTGAAAATTTCATATTATCTAAGTAAAAATCAGTTTCAATATATCCATTACTGACTAACTTATTTATGTCTTGAATATGATATCCTTTTATTTTTTTTTCTCTCTTTAATAGAGAGGTTGGGGGAAGTCTATGATTATATAGACTTTCTATTTGCCACCTTGATTCCAGTATGTTCTAGTGTAGTGATGTGGTAGTTTTATTGGTACAAAGAAATATAAAGAATTATTTTATTTGATGCAGCTTCGAGCTAATCATTATTAGAATTGAAGATCTGAAAGCATAAAGAGAAAGATGTAAATTCGATTCTGTTCCCAGCTTTGTATCATATACTGTATACATATATATTAGAGTTTATCTCTGATTATGGTAGAATGCTATGATTTTAGAATACTATTATTCTAATCATTTTATTAAAAGTCAATGTTAGTTTCATAATGATTAATCATATTGAATAAATTACTAGCCTTGTTCAAATATTTGCTTAACCTTTGTTTAACAATAGTAGTGAAAAATATATCGATTCTATTACTTAAAATTTGAAACTAATGAAAGAGGAGAGAGAGAAATCTATATATAATATACTTCGAATAAATCTTGAGCATGATGGATATAATAAAAAGTTCCAGAAGATTGGTGTATGAATTTCCAACATAATTACTTTTTGGGTTTTGTCGAGTATTGCATCTGAATCGCCATTATAGTCCAGTGCGGAAGTGCATTATGGATCTTCTCTCAAAAGCAACCGTGTTTTATCCTGATTATCGTTTAATATTCCTCCGATTCCTATAGAACACGTTTCCTCTTAGCCTGTAGCGTTTCTAAGCGTTCTTTGGAATGTAAAATATTGTAAGGAATGAAAGTTTTTGTGGAAGTCAATTCATCAGATATCAACATTCAATGCTTGGGAAAAAATGGGAAGATGAAGAGGCTCTAGGATATTTTGCAGCTGAAACTCGAGATTATATGTTGTATCATGCCCAATTTTGGTACGTTTAAGAAAGCATCTGAAAGGCCATTCTTGATATTCGGCAATTGGTAACACTGGACAAGAGGAACTTCAAGAAGTTGGTGAATAAAAATGAAGGTTGTTTAAGGAGCTCTGCTTGATATCCTATCATAGACTGGTATATCAGCTACTGTACCAATAAATCCAGAATAGTAAGGCTTCGACTTCGACGATAGACTCATCGTATAAAGATTGCAGCCGGGGAGCTGATTGCTTCAAACACAATCACTATATGACTATACCCAAACCGTAAGATTCGTGACTTGATCGGCAGGCACTTTAGCACTGGGGGTATAGTGAACAGTAATTTTGATAACGAAAACAAGCATTAACACCGGTTTACATCATTCCGGATCAATGTCAAAGAGACAATCTATGTTGATATGCTGTATGATTAAAGAAATACATAGCACTACCTAAAAATGCTGAACATCCTTGATAAGGATAGTGAAATCCCTCATCAGCGGTATGAGATTGAAGGTGCTGAGTTTTGATATATCGATTAAGACTATCAATACGAAGGTATTTGTACTCTCGTTCTCTGGCCCTGCTTCATTATCATTCCATTTGCAGAAGGCACAAAATAATGTAGAGACCTTGGAAAGTTTATGGGATCTTGTTGTTATATCAGCAATTAGAGATGTCGAATCTGCGTCTTCTGATAAGGTTTGGGAGTTGATATGTTTTCGAGGCCGTCCTTTGGATTTCGATGCTCGATATTGGCGAGGGGATTCTTGGCGTTTGCAAAGTTGGATTAAGTTTTGAACAAGCTCGATCCGCTTTTGAATGATCTGATCCTCTGTAAGGCCTGTATGTGGTTCGAAGAGCAATCTGGCTATAGTAGCTTGCTCCTTAAGCTCGTACTCAATTGTTGAAGGGGTGAGGATATCGGCGGGAAGAATTCCTTGCAATTGTCGATCGACCTCGATAGTATGAACAGTCTTGTGAAACTACTTGATAGTTTTAGCCAGCAACTGTTTGCTTTTTTGGTTCTTCAAATTATTGATTTCGGTCAGTATTTCTTGATGTTTTCTATACCATCTCGTTTCCGCAGCTACTTTGATAGAGGGATAACCGCGTGACTTGATGTTCAGAACAGAATCTTTACGCTTCTGAATAAGTTGAAGAATGTCGGGATCTTGGCTAATCTCAAACTTCTGCGCATCGGTCAAGTCTGAACGGTCAAGTCTGAAGGGGCTCGTTCGTGACGAGATAGTCGGCTAACAGCTCGAATTAGATCTTCTCGTCGTGTAGATCCAAGGTAAATAGCTTGGCAATCTGTATCAATGAATGCTTGCATATAATATCGTTCATAAACATCTCCCCGATAGCCCATGATCTGCCGGCATTCTTCTGGTGTAACCGACTCTATATCGACAATTAGCTGAATTTCGACAGGAAGTCTCAAGAGCAAGAGAAAAGTGTGGTCTGAAAATTTGGATATAAGGAAAAGAACTTGATAAGAATAAGAGATAGAATAAATGGGAAAGATTAAGAGAATTTTGTATGAAAAACCTACCATTCGACCTCTTCCCAGAAGCTCGCCGCAAATCATAATCACAGATTGGTTGTCGCAACTATCGCTGAACGAATTGATCCACAACGGACTGTTTACCGACTCAAGATCAAAAAACCATCTATCCTCGATTATATTCCAATTCCATTTATTCGATTTATATTTGAAAAAATTTTCAACTTCTATCCATGTCTCAAAATTTCCCATCCTGAATGGTTTCTACCACCTACAGTCATCCTCAAAAAATGCAAGCCTAATTGGGATGATGAGTTTGAGGTTGAAAAACGCATCTACCGTCGCCTTCAACCTCTTCAAGGAAGATTCATACCCTATTTCTATGGAGAAGCTATATACGATGAATCGCCTGCTGTTGGGTTTCTTGAGACTAGAAAGAGCATCAGATTGAATTGACTTATTCTCTAGCTAAGCAGTTAAGCTGCGAGCATATATTCAAAAAAATGAAGGAATAGGTTGGGTATTCGGCCTTCGGAATTAAAGTGCTTTGAAATCAAAATATTGAAAGCAAACAAACAGTATACCAAAAAGGAAAGAATGAATTAAAAGTTGAGTTTTGTTTGCTCCTTATATGCATATGTACTATATATGCATATGCTGCCAAGATCCCAGGAGGTCAACACCTGCTTTGGTCCTATCAGAAATTATTGGCCGAAGATTATTCGATATTACAATGGAACATGGAGAGGACGCAGAATTTGAGAGAAAACTAGAAGAAGTTTACACAGCATTAACTAGTTACGGAGTAATTCATGGGGATACAAAGTTGGATAATGCTATGGATGTTGGAGATCGAATAATGGTTATTGATTTGGAGCAAGCTATAATCGATGAAACAGAATTTGCTAGGAGTACTAACATAGGAAATGCGAGGGGCTTACTGCGTGACCTTCAATTGAATCGTCAATACGAAAATGAGGCAAGGCAAAGGGAAGAGAAGAGATTGAAAGAAAAGGCGGAGGCAAAGGCAAAAGGAAGAAGGTATAGTAGGAAAATCCTAATTTATCACTTATCTAATGTGTTGTTAGGCTTTGGGAGCTGAGACATTCAAATCAACGTGGAGAGGAATAAAATGGGCTTGGATTGGGATAGGAAGAGAAGATTTGAATACTTTCTTTGTTGGCTGAGTAGGCAAGCCTGGGTAGTTGAGCACCAAGTTGAGTAGAGATTGCAATAAAAGGAATGGTCAAGCAGGAAGAATAGGTTGTGGTAGAGGTTGACATCGTACTCATTCATGTTATACAATTTAAAAATTCCCCCCCAATTAGAAATTCCATTAAAAAGTTGCTTTTATGTTGTGATCACCTTTTGAGTTTTGTAGAATACTGTACCTGAATCGCTACTTGCATTCTATGCGGGAGGGTGTCATGAATTTCCTCCCAAGAACAACCGTCCTTTTTCGTCCTTACTATCGTCTCGTGCTCATCTGCCTCCCACCAAACGCGCTTCCCTTTAGGTCCTGCTGAACGTACTTCGGAATGTAGAATACTACAAGAGCTCTGGGTCTGCGAAAATGTATCAGCACCTAATGTTTCTGCAATAAAAGGCAGATGCAGATGCTCCGGTACATGTTGCAACTGGAATTCGAGAGTGTGTGGTATCGTTCCCAATTATGGTACGTTTTAGAAAACCTTGAAACGGCCATTCTCGATACTCGGTAGTGGTCGCCGGCTCTGCACATGTGGGGTTCACAGGGGATGATGGTGAATAGCAGTGATTACCATCGCTGGCCGCTGGTGAATGCCCACCAAATTTCGATGTGGAGGAGTCGATCATGGTAGATGGAGCAATGGAGGATGGACCGATGATAGGAAGTGGCCAGGGATGACCTTCTGCACCATTTTGTCGGGATGAGGTTTGCTCATTGTCAATAGGAAGTGACCGAGTTCTTCGCTGTTTTGCAGGTCGTGTATTGTCGTCACTCTCACTATCTCTGTCAATCTCAGTTTCGGATAGATATCGCCGCTTTCTGCATCCCTGTTACTCATTATTTTCCCCCTCCTTTATCGACCCTACAGCTATGTCCCCGTGCTGCTGAAGGAAGTATGGTGAAGATCCATGCTCAAGCTCTTCAGGGTCACTGTAGCTGGAATCGCTCTGATCTTGATCGCGAATAGTCAAAGGATGCGATGGCTCGATTGAGTAATTCACAGAAGGAGAATGGGAGCCACCTGTTGAGAAATTATCTTGCTCATCTGAATTTGATTTATTGTCTTACAGCATTAGAGTATCTTTATATAGTCAGGAGATTGCTTTATTATCGTAATCAAGAGTATCCATACCTTGAGTATCATAACCCTTTTGTAATCCTTCTATCAAGGTCTCCTGGTACAAACGAGGATCAAGGACTGTTCCAACTGATGAGGAATCGTCATCATATATTCTTGGCGAAGCTATCTTATCCTCCCAAATTTTGTTTTCCAAGCTTGAATCCTCTCCTGTATTCATTTATGATATGCTATATGATGTAGGGAGATCGGTATTGTAGTCATTATCAACGTTTTCTTTATTACTATTCTCTGTATAGAAAAACATCAATCATTATTAGTAGGGAAAAAGAATATCTTAGGGTCTTATTTTGGGCATGTATACCTTGAAGTTCTGAGCCTGAATCATTACCATCATTTGATCTCTGAGTATCGTCAATTAATCTTCGATCTGGCACAATATGCTGCTCCTCGACAGGAAAGCTATGCTTCTGAGTGATTGCCCTCCTGGAACGCGGAGCAGTGGGCACATAAGTATAATAAATGGGTTCAAAGGAAGTCATTTTGAGAGTATAAAAGTGATTGATAATATTTTGGAAGCTCTCTGCTCTGATGAGTGCTCTGATGAGGAATAAAGAAAAATGAAGCAGAAATGGAGGGAAACAGAGTTTAAATATGTTTCTCCTATAGGTAGGATATCTATTAGAATGTATTCTCTACAACTTTCCGCGAGCGCTCCTTATCTCATACACTCGCTCATCCCAGCCAGCGATTTTTAGCTCTCCAGCGTGCGGGTCATAACCGGCGGATAGCCCCATTCCAGAAATGACTATAGCTCCAAGCAAACCATATTCCGGCAGAAGGATCAAGTATATCGCGCCTTTAATCTACTTCCATTTCCTGCCATGCCTCTTGTGATCGCCAATATACAGTTCAAGTGCTTGCAGCTTCTGGCCGTCCGTTTGAAGTCCACAATAGACTGCAGGGTCTATGATAGTGATCAGTCTATCTCATCATAAATCAGCCCAAGTTAAGGCATACACCGTATATCACTCGTCTTGTAATGCGGAAAGCTTGCCCGGATTCTTTTGCTTTACGCTGAGGCGATTCGCAACACGGCTGAGCAACCAAGCAGGTACATCACTATTGTGAGGCATTTTTGCGATTGGGCAATGCATAGTGAGGGGCCAGGAAAGACCAAGACAAGCCCACTTGTCACCAGTGCTATCGGGAGTATGGTCGAGGGAGAATGCAATGGGTAAGAAGGTAAATTGGACTTCGTCGTGAGCCTCGGCGTGTACTTTGACTCGTGCCATTAAAATTGTTTGGTTGATTGCCATTCCGAGAAATCAATATTTGTCGAATTCGCAATGGTAGCTTGATCCTGATAGCTAGGAGAGTTGCCCTCTACAAGCTTCCGCGCACTCTCAACATACAAACACCTCGGTCCCGACACAGACCCCTTCGCGCAAGACGCGTCCCTAACGTCGCCGGGCTAACGTCATTAACCTTGCATTCTCAGTGTGGAATGCGCCTATCTTGTAGATTCCCACTCCGCATGTTCACAATTGATCAATCTCGGCGTTATTTCGCGATCGTCGGTGACAGTATGTAAATAGAACCTTCCCTTTGTAGAAACGAGATTGTGCAGCTCCAGATGATCGTATATCCGCTCTGGCGTCAATACAATATCCTTTCAGTAGCAGGATATTGAGCTGATGATCCTTCCCAGTTCAATATGAGGTCCATCCTTCTGATATGACCACAGCTCTAAATAGAGCTTGTTCCGAGGTCATACGACCTGTCCCCTTGTAGATACCTATGGAGCGACCCAGGTCTCGAACCGCCAGCGTTTCGTCATCGATACTCAGGAGATTGCAGTGTATGGTAAATATGGGTTGCTCTCATCACAAATCAACCCCAGTCACAGACAGACTATATATATCATTATTTCGCCGTGCAGAAACTTACTATGATCCTTCCTTTAGTACATAAGCTATCCATGGCGCAGTGAGACAGCAGGAGCACCCCATGCTATAATGAGGCATTTCTTTGATTGGCCAAATTGTAGTGAAAGCAACCAGGCCCCAGGGTAAGAGTACTGCAGTTGGGCTTACTGAAGTGATTGTTGTGGTGATCGCAACAATGCATTGGTGAGAATGGAAAGCCGAACTACCGTCTCCTTCGTAACTCGGCCAGTAGAATGCGAGTCAGTTGATTGATCATCATCATAACAACCAAAGGGCATCGAGTTCAAGGTAGTAAATCGAGATTTGTGATTTGAGATGGGTAATGCCGTCGACGTTTTTCAGCTGCGGCAAGACCGATGTAAGTGAAGATTCGATGTGGGGCGGTATGGGAAGGGACTTACAACGCAAGTCAAGTCTGAATGACCGAACAAGAAGGTGTTGGAAGAGAACTAAAGAGACAGAAGATTGAGGAGAGAGGAGCGCGATTCTTATAGATGTTGAAAGCGGCGGCTGGGCTCATGCCCGCACGTTGCCTGATGCGGCGGCCGCTAAACTCGGGGGGGCAAGCACCACGACTGAGATTATAAAAAGAAAATAGAATCTATACTATAAAATTTAAATAATATAAGAGTAAAAATAATCATAATTTTAATAATATAAAAATAATTTAATTAACGTTCTATGACAGTAGTAGTAATATTAATTTTACATCTAGAAGACCTCCCTAGGGGTATAGAAATGTGTTAAGGAACTCACAATAATATACTATCTATAAAAGATCCAAAAACCACAAAGAACAAAAAGAATCTTTTATAGGTAATTCTAGATCCCTGATCCCACGGTCTCGTAGTTCTATTATATACCCTAGAAAGCATTTTGAGTTTTATTGTTGTGTAGTGTTGCAATCACTTTCTATGCTTGATTACCGCCAATTGTATATAAACCCCCTACTCTATTTAAGGAGGATATGTCGCGGTGTAAAAGCAATTTGTCGTATATTTAATTATCTCAATCTACTAGCAATAGCGATATCAATAGTAGTAATCATACTTAAATACTTTGCTGTCTGTAGAAGATATCAAGGAGACAGGAGATAGGAGATAGGAAGGAATTATATTCATCTCATACTATCCTATGCCAGTGCCGAGTCCAAGTTTGATTCTTGAGCTTCTGATGCCAGAAAGAATGTTTTTCCGGCTCTAACTCTGAGTAAAGTTGTAATGATCGATGTATTGTATTGTCTTTAGATATTTATAGAGATAGATACCATATATGAAATCTAGCTTGTTGGTGATTCTTAACTCCTGTCCTTATGATGATGGGGGTGAGGATGATGAAGATGATGGCATATTATAGAGATATCCCAACTCTATATAAACAAGATCTTAATACTGTAAAACTTCATAAACTCCGCTAACTCGGTAATTTATTACCATCATTACTACCCCGCGATTGCGACTCCTCAATCGCAATATCCTCATGAGACTGCTCAACACCATCATTATTAACAACACCACCATCATTAACACCAACACCACGTTCGGAAGTCCAATCCTCATAACCAGGCAACTCATCCACGCCACCACTATTCACCCTCGCTGCACCCCCAGTAGCAATCTGAATGGAATTAGTCGAATCGCCATAACTCGGCAACTGCTCACTGGCAGCATCAGACACAAGATTCTCCCCACGATCTCTAATTCCACTCGAACCCGATAATCCTACATTACTAGTCGAACTTCCCACTATTTCCCTATTTTCCTCTCGTTCACTCCACAACAATCTCTTCTTCCTCTGCACTTTAACCAATTGTGGAGAAAAAAATCCAATCGCCCTTGTATTATCCACGCGTCTAGCAACTTCAATCTGTTCCGTAAGATCTCTCTCTTCCCTCTCCAATCGAGACCACCTCTTCCATTCCTCCAACCAAAAACACAAAAGCGCCACCACTAATTTCTGACTACTTAACGAAAGATCCGTAGCAGCAAGTTGCTGAGGAAAATTCTTAGTAATAGCTGCTGTTTTGACAGGAATTTCATCTTCCATGCTATATCTGGGAGCCAGTAGACCCGGTGCAGAAGTAGCGGGTGCTTCTAGAATGATATCGTGTTCAATGAGAGCTTTTTGAACTTCAACACTCGAGGTTTCGGTATCGACAATTTCGGTTACGAAAAATGCCCGCTCGCCAAGATACATGGGATGTGGGAGATGACGTTGGTATTTGATGAGAGCGTCCGCTTGGGCGGGACTAAGGGAGACATCGGTAAGGGGATGAGGTTCGGAGAATACATTGCCGACTGCGTGGAGGAAGGCCCCGGAGAGCCTGCGGACGCGTTGCATGATTCTTAATGGATTTTTCTGTACTACTACGGTATACTACTGTGGAGATATCTGATGGCTAAATCGGATGAGATCTGATTTGATAAGATGGATGAATCAGACCGATGTGAATATTAATGCAAGGTACTGTACTTTTCCTTGTCCCACCGATGAATATCGATGCTGGTAAGGAAGGTATGATTTCGAAGATGAATATGGAAGGTGCTCACGAGGAAAAGATGAGGGGAGATGATTTACGAATGAGGGGTATTCATTTACGCACATGCTTCGTACTCACGAATACACAGGACAGGTTCCTCTACACCATTTAATTACCTCATTCAGAGACCCACATGCATAAGAAGAGATGATCTTATTGGTTCAATGGACAAGGCTGAAATAAACAAGGCTATTTCTTATCAAAGCATACCCAGGTAGGTATATAAATAGGTAATATCATATCATGAGATGAATTAACTTATTAATGCAAGCCGGCTTTCAACCATTGCAAAAAAAAAAAAGCTGATTGATGCTGACACATCCATCTAAAAAGCATGGCCAAAATGAGAAATCAAGCACGAGATGTTAAAGGAAGGATGACTGCATGAAGGATTGCAGCTGAAGCTTGGGTCACGAAATGGTCACTTGAACATTATGAACGTGATTGCTTGAAGATTTGGGCTCACATTTTGATATGATATGTATGGAGCATGCACTTCAGGACGGAGTACTCGGGTCTTGGAATTGGGTCGTCGTCAATTATTGGAAGGCGGTATGGAGTATCTATTATTACCTAATGTAGGGTATAATGTAGGTAGGGCCAATTTCGCAAATTTTCAGAGGCAAATTCACCCCACAAAATACGAAGTACACTATGATAAATGCAGTAATGCAGCATCCTGTATATACGGAGAATGTACTATATATAATTGTACCAACTTCTGAAGCGTCGTCAACCTCAAACTATCGTGGCGATGTTCATCAAGCAATGATATCCATACGAAAGACCGAGGCAAATATTCTTAGTTAATTAAATTTGTGAAGAAATATTTGTTTGGAGAATGATGAACCAAAAACTTCAAGTTATCGATTGACGTGGTGTTGCACTGCCACAAAGCGGCTGACAGCTGTACTCCGTAGAGAAGAGAGAGAGAGCATCGTTCAACCTGTCGTCCGTGATGAAGATTGTCTGTTCCCGACTTGCGATTACGAACGGCTTTATGCGTACTGTATTGCCTCAATTGAGTGTTCGCCTCTCTTGCTGGCCTTGACTGTCTAGCAAATAGAGAAACATTGCAGATGATCCCGCTTTGGTGTTCAGCTGTTCTAGGATACCTACCTATGCCACGTTGATGGCGTTATACCTGTACTCGTAAATCCTCTTGTCTATCGGCGGTATATTTTCTAGGGATCCACTGACTAAGATACTGAATTTGCTATCTTGATCTGATAACCCATCGATAATCCCGGGGTCATTGAATTTTCATGGTTATTGTGTTCATCCATATGGTTATGTCACATTTAGAAACATATTTGGAAATCTGACATCGCCATGCATGTCCGATTGGATATCATTGATAGGTGCATCGCATTTTTCACCATGAAATCTGAAACATATATCCATCTAACATTCGATATGTTTGAAAGCGGTAGTTCGAGATATGAAAACCTCGGACGATATGATAGATCTCATGTGGATAAAGCGTGGATGGGCAAAGAGGACAAGGGCACGGCGCCAAAATCGTATGGTCGATCCGAATGAAAAATACCTTCTGGGCGAATCCCGCAACGTGCTTTCCCGAATACCAGATAATGGAAAAGCCGATGTCATGCGTCACACTGCGTTTGTACCCTCTTTCCCGTGCCATCAAGTGCAGGTATCTAAGCGCGCATGTAGAGTCACCTGTTGCTTTGTTACCCTTACCTTGTTGTATTCCTTGTTATGTACGAAATAGAGTGAGGGCTCTCGGGCATCAAGATGAACATGTTTAAAAGCGCTTCGATGCGGGCAAGGACAGATGGAATATGCATATAATACGTCGAAAAACTGGGAATATTTGCTCACCGTAAGATGCTCTCAGGTACGGAAAGAGTTTTCTCATTTCTTGGTGACCTTGTGATCATCATGCCCTTCACAGATTCTCCGCATTGGAATCCTTCTGACGTTGAAGTCGAATGAAAGTCACGAGAATGAAGGAATGTGATATTTGGTCTCGTTGAATTAGGTACTGATATTGACATTAGTTAGGCTTGTGATAAATCCGAGGTTCAAAGGATGGATGCGGGCGGATTAGATTATTGTGTGGTGCAGTGCAAGTTTTGGATGTTTTCTTTTCCTTTTGCGGTGAGTCGTACGACGGCAATTTTCAGTGCCGGATACTAGGCCCGTTTACCTAGGTAGGTATGGTATAGCCAGCCCTGCTCGGGCAAGCCCGTTGATTATCATCTATCATTTATGATTCAAAAGCAGCAAGATGGAGAGAGTGGTGGAGGTCAAAATCTCTTGTGGCGGTGCAAAAAAAAATAAAAATTATAAGTCAATGGTCATTGGTCAAACAGTAAGTATCGTATTCTATTACTAATTGGGCAGTCTCTAGTACCTAATTATAGAAATGCAAAGCCCAAACCTTCGGAAAAAAAGAAAGGTACATACATATGTGGATATAATTCAAAATGTTCAACGTCGCCACACTTCGTTACATCCTATCGCATAGGCTAAAAAAGGCGTACACCGAGATATGCTCAATGACTGTGACTGAAACTGTAACTGTAACTGTGCTTCTCCGAGGTTCATGCTTGTGAGGTCGTGAGGGTCGTGAGGGTCATTGCCAGTACAGATAGACCCTGAAATTGCATCGCAGGAACCTGTTTCTATGCACCTCCATTGGTACGATGTGCTCCTACTGCCTAGTGCTCCTAGTGCCCTTATACCTGTGCCTGTAAAGGAATACTCGAGTAATAAATAACCTTTCCAACGGATACACTGACTTATTCTAACTCCCCCCTCGCCCCAGAGCGATATCGTTGTAGGTGCATGGCCGGTGGAACAGCAAGTATAGACGATTGTGGTTGGCAGGATTTGCACCGGCTCCAAAGCTGGCTTGTGCGAATCAGAGCTCGGAAACGACCTTTTGACAGCGACACTACTTTTTCAACCAGGATGGCCATTTCAGATAAATATCATCTACAGGCTCAGATTCAACGATGACGACTCAGTCTAGTAAAATGTAAGAAATTTTACCCATCCACAAGTCCACCCACCAAGAAATGCATTCGCCCATCGGAATCGGGGTACCCTGGAAGAGTGGTGTCTCTCGCTGCTTGATTTGTTCGACTTCGTCCCATGGTTCGCACGAAGAAAATAATATGTCAGGAGAGAGAGTTCTGGAACTTCGAAATCGATTCATGCAGGAGATTCCAATTTTGGCGTATACCTGGCTATGTTATCGATGAGATAGGTTCAATATCCGGCCATCCGTCCCTTCAGTCTGAGACTTGGAGATCCATAAGTCATGATGAGGCTTCAGCAAGGTCTCTTAATCTCCAATACCTAAGTATATTATGGAGATGCATGAGATTGATTGACTAGCAAATTCTTCCTATTAAACGAACTCTGTGTAAAATTCTGCTCTGCTGTTTCACATTGTTGACGCAACCTCTCGATTATCAACATTCTGCCTTTCTGTATGCGCTGAATGTGCGTATGCATCATTCTGTGCTGTTGCTGTGTGGAGATGCAGGTTTGGGCTTGATGCTTGATGCAAGTCATCTTTTCATCGCCGGCCGAAGTTGAGGCCAGATGGATATTGGTGATTTCGGGTAGGTCTGAGTCAAAATAACGCCGGTGTTCTAATATGGAGAATTATACATATTGGGACATGGCTTAACTTGAGTAGGTAGTATTTAGGGGTAGTAAATGAGTAAGGTAGCATTCATTGCAAATGAGCCGAGAGAGAAAAAAAAAGCCAATTCATTCCACCCATGACGATAATGCAGTCGAAAAGAGATCTTCAGTCATTTCAAGAATTCAAACCCAACTATACCCTTTATGAGTATGGAAAAATAACCTTTGTACACAAGCAATGATACTTGATCATAGTAGGGACATCATAAAACTGGTACCGAGTAGAGATGAAATGATTATTGGGATAGATAGATGGTTTTGAGGAAGATTTTATCATTGCAATTTTATTGAATTATCTTCTTTCGCCATCTGATTGGTACGAATGTTTGATAACTAATCGATAACTCGGGCTTGACATTATTACAATACACCTTACTAGATAGATCAAGTATAGACTGTACACTTCCCATATATTATACTTTCGTGCTAAAAGATGATTATGTCCGCATCTCCGTAAAATTTAAACCTAAACTTTCATTCCCTATCAACCAAAAACCAACTTTGAAAAGCGGCACCCAAAAACGGGACGACGGAAACTAACTACCTATCCAAGCACAAATGACAAAATATGAACGATGCTACAGAGAAATATTCGCATTATCCATTTCCTTTTTTTCCAAGAACATACTTTTCAGATGATCAACCAGTATATCTCCAATGTTACACCCTCGGCAAATGTCGATGTCATAATACCATCATGACCATTATGATCATTCTTCAATTCATCATATTTTGTTGTCCTTCGTTGTCCTCCGGTGTTTGTAGGCTGTGGTACGGCCGTGCATGCATGCATGAATGATTCTTCCCTATATGAGATGAATGAGATGATTGTTAGTGGCCAAATGGCATCTGCTCCACGATACCGGGAAGTAAAAATGCAAGATTGTTGCACCTTTTCAGCTGCAGTCGGTGGTCACTGAAAGTGGGTAAGAGAAAACTCACTACAAGTCAACTTTGGTCAGTTTTTGGGTTGACAAGCGCAGGCTGGACAAGGCTTGACAAAGCTTTAATCACTGTGCAGGCAGGTGGCCATTTTTCTTTCCGTTTGCTTTGCCAAAAAATACCAGGGACCGATTTAGTGTTATGCAGGTCTAATGCAGCACTGCCCCCAGCTGCATTTTAGTGACTCTACTGCTTTACTGCTTTACTGCTTTGGCTGCATTGCTGCCACTATTGAAAGGTACGGCTACCACACCCTACTGCTGGATTGACTGGGCCCCTTCAAAGGCATCTTTTGTTCCCACCGACCCGTAATCTTTCGATCTCGACGAACGAATGAGGTGAGGCATTTTATCGGAGCTTTTTCACCATGTGAGTGGAGACGGGGAATGGAGGAGGTGACATTGGTGTAATCTACATACAAGACCTACTCAACACCCTCCTCTCTGCCACACTTTACCACTTCCAGTATCTACTCCTAGCTTCTTTCGCCCACATCTTACCAAACTCGATGCAGCTTTCGGAAAGAAAGTGGCTACGTCTAGTTTAAACCCTACGGATACTATTAAGGGAATTCAAGATTTTCCCATCTATCATCATACCTTAACTTAAGTCTACTTCAACCCCCTTCATCCCTACGAGCCGATTCCGCCGCTTAACTAAAAGCTGATCGTTGACCTCTTATAACAACCCCACCATACCCTCAACTCTTTTTATCTTACCCTTCCCTTCTTTACGATCCTCATTCGTCCATACCTTTTTCGTTCCTTATCCAGGGCGCGCAAACTAGATCCCTTGTCTCGGGACCGCCAAAAGATTTATCTTCATTCTATTCTCAACGTTCTGATTTTCTAGCTCCCATATCTACGTCAGGTCACCCTCCCGCCTCATCATATACCCTTGACCTTTGTCCTCGAATTTATACCCTCTCGTCGCTCTATATCCGCCTCCAATATTTTCCATAGAACTCTACCTCAATGCCTCCTCAATTACTTCCTGCTTCGGCAGCTGCTTTTGCACCAAGAGCTTCCTCTGTCAATGTTGTGTTAAGTTCAAAGGTTGAGCCATGGTTAACACAAACCTTAAAGCGTATAAATCGCATAAAACGTCCTCTCAACAGTGTACCCCAGCACCAAAGATGCTTAACAGAAACATTATCTTCCTCAACAGCGATATGGACTCTTGGATCTTTGATGCTATCGAAAGCTCCGGAACAAAGACGCGAAGACTCAAATCCATTAGTTGAGGCCATGTTCAACTATCAACTCATTCATATCGAAGCCTATGTTGTCCATGTAGATATGGTATTAAGAAACGAGGTTGCCTATAAACTTACTCCGGATACGATAGAATCCCTGATCGAGTATCACAAGGAAGTGCATTGCCTGGATATTGCGGCGAATACCTACAACTGGTCGGAGAAGGATCAGCAAGTAAAGAAAATGCACGAGGATTTCATTCAAGCTATCAACAAGTTCGTCTACAGAACTCATGTCTCTGCTTTAGAGGGACTGGAAGAGGATGGAGCTGGTGAATTGTTATGCGGTAAAAGTGATGAAGTCAAGAACAACATCATGGGACTTTTCCTTCCTCTACTTCCCCCACCACCAAGGGTTGTCGATGTGGTCAGACCTCCTACTTTGTTGCCTAGTTCACCAGCTGGCATGAATTGGTGGTCGCAACCCACGATACCAGTAACCACAGCAGCTCCTGTTGACCCATGGAGGATGCTTCCTTCAAGTCCAAGTACAACATCTTCCATGTCCTCTTCCGATACTCAATCTTTGTGGGCAAATGTGGGCTTAAGTGAGATTCAATTGCCTTCCCCCACACCATCTTACAGCCAGCCATTCACCACCGGCGGCCTTTTCTACAGTACACCACAAGTGAGTGCGCCAATTTCCGCGCTTCCCTTACCAAGCATGTTAGCACAACAACACTGCGGTATTGGTATGGGATATGGCGGATTCGGTGGATTCGGTGGTGGATGGGACCGATATCAGGAGTACGCCACAACGATGTGACAACCAAGGCCTGGATCCTTGAATAATCCCCCTACTACTCGCCCGGGGATTTAGGGCAGGCGACAATACAGCACACAATACTATGGCTCAAAGCCTTTGTACAAGACAACAAAATTACATACATACATGGCACCGGCATATTTCTTTAGCGGCATTTGATACCTCCGAGGGCACTTAACGGCGTTTTTACATCTTCATCATCTCCTCATCAGCGATCGAGCGAACAAATGATATTCTAGGAACAAATCTTACTTAATAATCACCAAGAACAACAATCTCCTTTCCTCACAAATACATAATAGGATACCAATTTTCTTATCATTCATTTTCATTTTCTGTTTATTTTAGCGCGGCGAGGCTTGGGTTTGCTTTACACGACATCACAAAACCGCAAGACCGGTTTCCGAATTTTCCTTTCTACGCATATGGCAGGACCTACAGGCGGGTTATTTTGAAGCATTTTCTGGCACAGTTCCAAGATTTTTTTTTACCCATAAAGAGATTACCTTTATTAAGAGGATAACGCAGCAATGCAGGGCTTCACGGGCGCGTCTGGATATATTGTTTTTTTTTTCTTTTTACGTTCAAGATTATCATCTTACGTTTTGTCTTGGGGGGAAGGGAAAACCGGGTTTTTCTTCGTTCTTTCATTTTCGTTTCTGTTTATGCTTTATGAATCATGAATGCTTATGAATTTTGCTTGGACAAAAGATCAAGGCATATGATTTATGAGTTCACGAAAATAGAGACTGAAAATATGCGGAGCTAAGAAGACCATCTGCAGCGCAGATTGGAATAAAAATCAATGGACGAGATACCGGGTCTCTTTTCAATGGATTTGAGGACAAACGGACAAATTGTTTAGATGGTATCATCAGAATGCGACATTTCTCAACTCTCGCTAGTCGAGCTTGGGTTTTGGAGCGAGGATAGCCTGGATCGACTTCTTCTATCGGAATGGATGAACTCTTTGCCAAATCAAACTGGATATCGGCTCATTATCTCGAATGCAAATCGATCAATACCTGCGAGTCGGGATGATTGAATCTTACATGTGGGATTGGTTTTATGTCTTGGAGGATTTGGGTAGGGGCTTCGGATATTTTGTAGGGAAAGGATTGAAGGGCATATCGTAGTTCATCACTACATCTTCCGTTCGCTATCTGATGCCATCATACTTGATGTATGATAAGTTAAAGATAGTGTCTGGGAGAACACCAAAATCTTTCTCTCGTCCTGTGGACGGAGTTGGACGGAGGTATTGATGCGGGTTTCATTTTTCGGCACAGGCAATGGGAATATAGGAAAGGCAATCTTTCATACTGGTTATGGAATTAAGGGAGGAACTGTGATTACATGTCTGGTATATGGATTATTAAGTGTGGAAAAGAGGAGGAATACAATTTTGTGTGTAGGTAATCTTGAGCTTGAACTTGATACCGAGAAAAAAGACTGAAAATGAAAAAATGAAAATATCAAAAACCTACAAACTAACAACTACCACATCCTTTGGCTCTCGAGTTTTGCTTGACTCATGAGGTAGGTTAAGGTGAGAATTACATGCAGAAAGCATCCCGCTCACGACGTCAAGAGCTCTTCGCACGAGGAGAATTTCAACGTCAGCAATCGTCAGAAATTGTCAGATCTCAATTCCTCCTGCTCGCCCAGCCGGTCCTTTACTGAAAGGCCCATGCTAATTCATATCAATGCATCTGGATCCGTGACAAAACAAGCTTCTACCCCGATTGGTCAGCACTACGACAAATGGAGCGAGTCAGCGACGCCCAACCGGCCCTCGCCGCCATATAAATGAGTAATTTACTACTCTTTTAGGGAATCCGAAGCCGAGGTTTAGTGCGCTGAAAAATAACGTCTAGGGACAAGAAAGCTATGGTTACATTGTGATAATCCCGTATATGTCGGCTGGTACGATATCGATATATGGCGTCCGCATTCCGTGTATGTGCGTCTGTGAATCCTACCTTAGCTACCAGGTATATGAAGATCGCCATATTGATGCTGAAGATTTTATTGCGTGTTATATGTGCTATGTGAGAGGTGGTATGCAGGTAAAAGGAGCTCTGTGCTCCCGAAAGCAAAATACGAATTCACATATTCCCATGTCTCCGTACATGCCGACATTCATTACCATGTCTTTGTGCTCCCTCAATCTCATCTTCTGACATGTCAAAACTAACACATGGAAAGGCACGGCACAGATAACCTGGAGGAAATCCTATCGCTTACTTGTTTGTAGGTATATAATATTATCACCGCCGTATCCGTGGATCGCTGTTGGCGAAGACTCCGCTCCTCCTCTAAGCTCTTGCTTTACGGCACAATTTTTCATATTAGATTATTTTGTTATAAGCGCGGATAGACTAGCTATATCAGGTATCGATACCAAGAAAATCTGTCGCCGGTATGAAGTGATATGATATTATTTCATGTCTTCAGCTAGAACCGAGGAAGCCAAGCCACCTAGACAAACGTGTACTCCCAGAACACACACACACATGTAACCTTATTGCAACCCCTGAAAACGGTCTTATAGCAGCGGATAACAGCCACAGCCAGAAACAACACTGAAGAAAAGTTGTCTGAGATTACGCCGCCTCATTTCCCGAACCTCATAAACTTCATAAGCGCCCAGGCATATCCAGCCAATTACACGCTCCAACCATTCCTACCCAACCAAGTATCCACCCCCGCTAAAGGCAAAACCAAACACAAACTCTAATCTCCAGTAAAGAAATCTAAGTATCTATATACACGTACTCCAAGAAACAAGACCTGCAGAAAGGTCAAGCTATTCTCGGCCCTTCTCATACACACTTCTCATGCATACCCGTACACATCTATGTCGAGTTAGCCTATCGAAAGATTCCTGCATTGCATATCGACTGTGCATTGGTGATGTGACCAACTGTATAACCCGCATGAGATTCCAGTCATGTGAGTCTCAGACCCTCGCAAATATTGAAAATTATTGGCTACGAAGAGTCAAGATTAGCCATTGCATATGTACGGCAGTAAAAATAGCGAGAGCAACGCGTTGAAAAATGAGGGATTTCTTGATTTTAAAGATTTTTTGTGAATTTTTCCTTGCCGAGTTTTCTAGAATTGGAATGCGAGATTATGCAGGATTGGACGGATGTGGTAGGTTACTCGACTATGTATCCAGAGGGTAGAGATGACCCGCATGAAGTTTCAATCATGTGAGTTTTTGTTACCCCTCCTTCTCTTCTTCATGTGCATATTCGTAACTTGGTGAGATGCATATGGCATATGGAGAGCGGAAATACCGTTAGGGACGTGATACGTACATCTGGGCGGTTCGGGAAGAAAAAACACGAGAGTGACCTAATCGATGTCCCGCATGAAAATTCAGTCATGTGAGTTCCATCTCCATGAAGATTCGAAGAAGTTATTAGCTATTATCTCACCAGGAGATATTCGGCATGTATATTTTTCGATCGCCAAACTTGTTATATTGAGATTCGCTCCACGTGCTAAAAATAATGAATGACAAGCGTTATAAAATCATGAGCCGAGAATAGTGATAGATCAGATATGCAGTCGAATAGCTGCAACTAACCGTTTTGGAATTCTACATGGCGAAAGAGGAAGCTGGGCTTGAGTAGCTCCTTCAACGGATGCTGATCGAATGTTTGCAGGATCGGGCTTATTGTGATGGTTTTAGTGTCTTGATCACCCGCATGAGATATCAGTCATGTGAGTGTGGGTGAGATAAAATAATATGGTATAGCGAGGTTCTATTACAGTCGCTCATGAGCTTACCCCAAAAGAATGGAGTTAGAAACTCCGCCACAAGCAGCCCCGTTGACCGTTGTGTAATATGATATCCGTTTTGCGGAGAGGTACGGATTCCGGGCCGAAGTATTTGCAGTATCCGGCTGATATTAGTGTGATAGATCAGATATGATAGAGTTCCGTACTGGCCTGCTTGATTACACTTATTCTCTCCGGCTCGGGTCTAAACTCAATGTTCACCACGTACGGCTAGTAGCTGGTACCCATTCGACTGCATCATAGACACAAATATGACTTGCTGCTGTATCGGCGATCAAGTTCAATTTTAGGCTAATTCTTGAGTCAATTCCGAAGAGGTATTCAACACGGCACGAGCTGTGAGAGAATAGGCAGTTGCGAGCAGTGATATTGATGAAGATATGGAGTGGATTCCGAGTGCTAGTGCTAGAGTATGAAATATGCTATCAATGGAAGTTAACGTTAATGCTTGATTTTAACCTGAACCCTAACCAAACAAACGAAACTATGCATTAAATCCATCCCTTCTTCCACAAGCAGCATTATGTGTAGAGGTCCAAAGATCACTTAATAAGTGAAGCCCAAAGTACCATCTATAGAGCAACACTACTTCCTCATCTGCCAAGATAACACCGTCCGAGTTGCTATGGTAAGAAAAACGCAATTTCCCTTCGCTTACTCCCCAGATTGAAAATTGTCTAGTAAAACTTAGGATTTTGAGATTTTCCACGTCAGTTTTAGATTTCATTTAGTCAAGGCGGGATAAATCAGAGCTATATGTTAGATTAATGATGAAAACCCTATAGATGGTGGATGTGGTTGAGATTTTTTTCTGTGATTAGTTTTCAAGGAAGGAGGTTTAAATGTAAACATAACCTACAGTTATTTGACTTTAGTTGTGGCTTCAAATACTGTGTTTGATAACCTGTTAGAAAATGACTATGTTAACTATATTGATACTTTAGTTGAAGAATAAAATAGATAATATAGTTTTTCTAGCAGTGGGATAGTACCCTCGTGTACAAAGGGTATACCGGACATCCTTTGAGGCGACGTTGGTGCGAATAGCTGTACATACGTAATTGTGACGACACTTATAGATAGATAAGTAGCGAAAATCCTCCAAAACAACGACACTACAAGCACAAATAACGAGGGGAATGTAAGTGATTAGAGAACATGCGAGCGGATTATTGCCCGCAGTAGTTCAATCCGTAACAATAGATCCATGTCCCTCATATATAACATTGCAGTTGCAAAACATTCTATAAAATACATCAAACGTGTCGGCGGTGGCATCAGAAACCAACAGGGTTCCTGTTAAGCACCTTAACTTTGGTACCAGAAGTCCCTCCTCCTAAAAGTCGTAGCACCTATATCCTAGGCATTGACCGAGAAAGAATTTCTGGAGACAGCTAGTTGCCACAATTTACGTTTTTTTTTTTGATCCGATGACATCGTTTGAAAGGGATCCTCCAGCTTCAATTTCAAGAGGTGTTGCTCTCGCCGTCTTCGCCGTTGTGCAGCTGACCATCGGTCAGCAATACCATTTGATCATCGAAAGATTCACTCAACTCAACGTTGTTTTGGCAGCTGGGAGGGCTGAGCTACAAAGGAGGAGGGGCTAAAACCGCTAGTGGTACTGGCTTGTTGTATTGCCCCGAGGACGGTGCATTGATCAGCTGATGCGGCGGCGTGCACTTGAGGAATTAGATCTGGAAGTTCCTGAAGCATCGAATATTTAGCTATAAAAGAACCTTTTGAGGATTTTGGTAGAGGTTGCTTTAGATGATTGATCTGTGGTAGTAGTTCTGTGAGTTCTTTCTAGATGAGGAATGACTCTGAGGTTTACTTGATCACTGATATCTAATTACTTCCTGTCTAGACTCCCATCTGCGATGCCCTTAATTTTAAAAAGGAATCAACAGAAATAGAACATTTTGAAGACTATGAGCAATCATAGAGACAAATTTTTACAGGATTGCGTTCTGCTCCCTCCATGCAGTAAAACTCCAAAATAATATCAACAAACAGGCGAGCTTCAAGAAAGGCAAAAGAATTTAAAACAATTGAAATGATTAACCACTCCATCGAACGTTGATATCGGAACATAATAGCTCATTCAATCTTTCAAAACGGCTAGGCTGGAACATATCGAGATCATTAATATCATACTTTTGGAATAATTTCTCTCATGTGCACTTTTCATAAAGTTCTGAACCATCTCTCTAGAGCTAAGGTTTAAGAATGGAAATGCTGAATCCACGAATTGCAAAGCTGGAATACCGTCTTTCACCTTGTTTCTTTAATGAAGCTGACTACTTGCGCTTTGATATCCTCCCGAATTCATGTTTTAAAATAAAGGTGATTAATGTTATTGATTCCCAAAATATTCAACAACTTCTGGGTAGGCTATTGACATGAAGGAAAAATAACATGATATAACAACACTAGAATCATTGAAAATAGAATGGCGTTGTTCGCTATTCTGAGAGGATGATGGTGTTTAGATAGGTAATTCACCATCGTATGGTGCCCGCTTGGAGTTTCGAAGTTTGTATCTGAACTTCAAGATTTTTCTATTCAGGAGGATTGAAGAATATCGAGGCACAGAGCCAAAACGGACAACTATAAAAGAAGTATATGCCATAGCCATCGCCATAACTAAATAGATCCCACGCAAAAGATTTTGTCGTAGCGGACGTACCAGGGTAGTTTATGAGTTCATCCTATTATAACGTAGCTGTAGCTGCAACTTTACAGACTGCATAGCATTATATACGGGTATATATCTATAACGTAGATACTATCCGACCAATTTATGAAAGGGATAGAAAATAAGGGAATGTGGATCGTCAAATTAAGCTAATCAATTATCCGCTGAAGCTAATATTCAAATATCTATTAAAGAACATCCCAAGCCATCAAGAAAGAGGAAAAAAGACTACTTTCTCCACTGAAGTTCAACCATCGAAAGACCATTCATCATCTATCGTTTGTGAATCAACCCATACTAATCTAATCTTCGAAGAGGAAATTGGTTATTAGTTAATTATTCAAAGTAATCTCTTCCCATTAATTAAAAAATTTCAATATTGCTTTTCAACAACTTAAGCTGATATACGATCAATGCCTGAATTTCTTTGGTAAATTAAGACTTACATTACAAATAAATCGAATATGCAGGATGAGAATCAAGATCGTGAACAACGCATAATCTTAGAATCTAGTTTATTATACCGAATAGCAGGCACGGTAATCACATAAAACTCCCAACCGCGATGAGCTTTTGAATGATGTGACGTGATGGTAGCTCTGCAAGGTTGAGGAAATAATCTTTCAATGATATGAACTCAATGAACCACGATATGAGTTACCTATCAGAACTATAACCTTTAAATTCTCCATACCTTGATAATCTCCAGCTGATAGTTCTCATCTGGATTTCCATGCAAAAGAGAGCTGATTGACTACGCCTTCTCCTTGAATTTGATTCCTTGATATTATCATGATTACTGATGGGCATTGGGCATGGGAGGGGCGGTGAATATCTCCTTAAAATATTCTTTTGTGAATTTTAACCAGCGACGTTGGGGGTGGAAGAATTATGAATAGGAAATTGTTCTGAAATAAATAGATTACTTGTGCTTGTGACTCGTGGTTGTGACGTATTGGTGATGGATTCTAGGAATAATTGACTGAGGATTATGTATTCAAGATGTAGATACGGAGATGTGGTGAATATATGCGTGTTTGATAAAGAAAAGAGGAGTTGTTCAGATGTCCGTACCTGATTATATACAAATTGTAAATAAAACCGACTAGTGTCGCACCTGCTATTGATTCAGGAAGGCTGCCCTTTGACGAATACAGATGTAATTGGAGCTTTCATCACCTCTGAGTATAGAAATGTATATAATTAAGTTATGGCATTCGTCTTTTGAATTAGCATGAGAGATATTACATTTTCCCTAAATCAACCCAAATATGCATCCTCGAGATCAAGTGTTATATATCATCATCCTTCATATCAAAGAAACCCCTAAACCACAGGCGGTGTCCTACCCGCACTGCATGCCCCACTAATACTCTCACAAGCTAATGTCAAATTTCCCGAGCTATCTCCCACCCAGAACAAGAATGGTTTACTAGTAGAAACCGGTATCACCCAGTTCTGTTTTGTAACATCCCAAACACTGAGATCCTTCCTGGTAATCGCAAGCGATACGACCTGCTTTCCATTCGGTGCCAATGTATCTGTCTTAGCAAAATCACGAAGCTGGATAATGGGAGTATCATAAGGAGAATCGGAGGGATATTGGACGTAAAGCTGGACGACCGATTTACCAGCCACGAGACCGGTGTTGGTAACTGTGACGGAAAAGGTGAACATGGTGTCCCAGAGCGCGGGGTTTCCTCCCTGTGATCCACCTGATGGAGGATCGGGTTTGGAAACATTGGTGTAGCCAGTAGGATAGACAAATGCACCTGGAGTTATATTTGAGGGATTTGTGAGGTATGGGTAGAGATATCGTGATACGGCATTGAAACCTGCTGGGTATGCGACTTCAGAAGCTGGAGGAATAGCCGTACTATATGTCGGCGTTGAACCTTTCGCTGGACGAGCCGGAGGAAGCGACGTAAGTGCTTTACCGGCTGTGAGAGTGACCGTTCGAGAGAATGTGGTGTAGGAAAGTCCGTGCCCGAATGGGAAACGAGGGCTGATGGCATGCTTGTTGAGGTATCTATAATCAATATATAAACCTTCAGAGAAAGTATCCTGAACCTGGCCAAGCGCGAATCCAACAAGGCCAACGGAGGCTGGGTAATCACTTTCTTTGACAGGAATTGAGTAAGGTAAATGGCCACTAGGCGAGTAATCGCCGAAAAGAATGTCCGTCAATGAATTCCCAGCTTCTTGGCCCGGTAAATGGGCAACAAGTACCGCCTTTACTGAAGGGAGGTCTATCCAGTTCTCAACAAGAATCGGTCCTACTGTATGGACAACTACCACTACGGTGGAGTACTTTGCTGCAGCCGCCTCAACAAGTGCGTCACCGTTGTGCCATGCATACAACCCTGAGGATGAACGATCTCCATCGTTCCCTTCCACGGTTATGGAATTCTCTCCAGAATCACTGTTGATAAATACGATGGCAATATCTCCAGGCGATGCAGTCAGACCGGATGGAAAGCTATCACTGGTTGAGCTATAAACATTGGCAGCTTTTCGCTTAATTGCATCGATGGGCGCGTCAAGGTAAGGGTAGTTAGCAGTACCTAGAAGCTTGAGTTAGTGTACCATATCATTGGAGGACTATTAATTATGCGTAGAACGTACCGGAACCCCATCCCATACCAAGAACGCCAGTATCACAGCCCCTCTGGTTGCAAGCATTAGGCCCGGAAGGGTTATTTGCGGAATCGGAACCAAACACTTTCAAAGCAGCCGAGGTTGAAAGTGGTAGTGTATTGTTGACATTCTTCAATAGGGTTATTGCCTCTCTTGAGATGTTTCGAGAAACGACAGCATGATCGGCTTGGACATTTACATGTTCATTTACTGTGCATGTAGGAGAGATTAATGCTGCTGGGTAACATGGTCCCGTAGTGTCTAAAGTGTTTGCAGAGAAATTCGGTGCTGGGTAGCTCTTGTCTTGCCCAAGTTGGTACCTATGTAGGATTTAATATTAGCCAGAAGCCCAGATGACAAATAGTCATTGAAATCTCAAAATCTATCGTCTAGAGTTGAAAGGTGTTTCGAGGGACACCTCCCGGAATGAACACTAACCAAGTTGCCACAATTCGTGTAACCATGTCATTCAGTCGATCAACTGGAACTGTTCCATTCAAAATCGCAGTTGAAAGCTCATAGGCCCAATATGCTTCGCCAAGAAACGGAATTTGTGCATCCCCTGGCATGGCCATGTCCAGACCAGCTAGAGCAGACGATACACCGCCAATTTGTGATAGCCAATCTGACATAACCTGTAGGTCGTTAGAATTATCTGGAGTACTGAGATGTATATCCTTACCAGGCCTTGGAACCCAAGTTCGTCTTTAAGCAAATTATTGATTAGGTATGAATTCTGACTTGCCGCACTCCCATTGACCTACTTCTGTTAGTAAAAAGCTATCGAGGGCTCCATTAAGATGGTATGATAATTATGGGGTTGTGCCATGAATCAATCAAGGATTGCACTATTGAAAGAAGCCTCATTCATTGACCGATTAATAGTTCACTTAGACGATCACTTGATTTAATATTCATCTCGAAACATCATACGAACGTTCATCCACTCATATTGCGATAAATAGGTACTCACCTCATTATAACTTGTCATAACAGCTCCGACGCCAGCTTTAATACCTTCCGCGAAGGGCCACATATAAAGCTCATGAAGAGTTCTGCAAATTAGTCTGGGTCAGATATCATTGAGGAATGCGCATACCTATCATCGATATTACTGCTAAGGGCTTTCATCAAACCATGAGGGATGATATCCATGCGAAATGCTTCCTGTTCATTTCCAATGAAGTGTTTGATCGTAGCGATGACACCATTCGCTTGAATTCCATTGATTGTTTGGGCGCCTCCCACTGCTTGAAGCACAGGATCTAGACATCACTAATCTCAGTCTTAAATCTCGACGACAGAATTTTCACAGCTCTTACCAGCGCCAAACCCTTCCCAATTTCGACCACCACGTGGTTTTCTTCCAGTCGGAGCTAAAGATAGTCAGAAATTTGGACGTTGCGGATTCTCAGCTCAAGGAGTGTCTTCCAAATGGGTATTTGTTAACTGCTTGTCGTACGTACCAACCGTAGGACCCAGAATAATGTTAACCCCCTTTCCTCGTGCTTCTGCACCTAGCGCAAGACCCCTTTCATACGCTAAAGCTTTGTTCCAAGTGGCACCTGTGGTAATACCGGCGGGAAAAGCTGTATTGTTGTCGGTCGCAGCTACGCCAAGTGCCGAGTCTTGTAGACAGAGACTAGGAATGCCGAATCTTAGTGCAGAGCCTGTGTTTCCAACACATCTGTACATTAGCTCTCCAACTCCAGTAGTAAGATTGACCTTTTCAGCTAAAGTCATTTGCGCCACAACGGTTTGTGCCTTTGCATAGGACGCCGTCCATGAACTATCCCAACCACCTTTCGGCGTGGGGTAGTATGGAGCAGCGACATATCCTGCAGGAACTGAATCTCTTTTCTCGATTGTTTCCTCGATAGAAGGAGGAATGAGTGGACCCTTATGTATGAATGAAGGTAATTTAGCTTGCCCGAACCCCAACAGCGACAACGAGACAAGCAAGAAGATGACCTTGAGTAGCGACATCGCAAGGAGTGTGCAACTAGTCAAGTAGAATTTGCTGGCTAATCTTTGAGAAAGTAGGTCCCTTTGAAGTAATTTGATGGGCAGAGAGAGTCCATAATATAGGAAAAACTGACTGAGTAAAATTAGGCGATGGAAATGATATATGCATGTGCACCCAAGACAATTTCTCTAGATATCTGCAATCAACGAGGATAAAAGAAAAGAGGCTTGTGATGGTTACATTCCGAGGTTCATCACCTTTATCGTGTGTGCTGTATGATTTGCTCCATCATTGAACCATGTTTGACATGGGCTGGAATTGATTCTATGGACGAAACAGGAAGTTCAATGAACAATGCAAGTAAGCTTTCAACGGAGACAGTACCTCTCTTGGAACACTATACTGAGACCAAACGGAATATCATTCCCTAAGATTGTCAGATTGTCGGTAAGACAGTTTTTTTTTTTCTAATTTTTAGGTTTGCGGGGTTTGATTTCCCCTGGCTTCCGCGATTATGCAGCATCTTTACCCGGCTAAGGTGCAGCAGGTGCAGGCAGGTGCAGGCGCAGGTGATGGGAAAGATTGAAGTATGAAGTCCCATCTACTTGACATATCAACCAATATACATAGAATATAAATATAATATCAGAAGTGGCATGCTCTATCAGAGCCTTCAAGATGGATCTACTTTATTCTGTATTGTAAATTGTACAACTTCTTTAGGAGTGATTGAAAAACATCCACATCCGGGTGACCGTTGGATGGTAGTAGTCGTCGAATGAAGGTTAAAAGAATTGGTCACTTAATCTTAATCTTTAAGTAATGACGCTGCTTTTGACCGGTAAGTCTTACAAGGCTTGATTTGGATGCCATGGATGCCGTGGATGCCGGTCGATGCCAGGCATATCATGGAATCGAGAGAAGATGGATCGGCCAATAACTTTATTAACCTTGTGCGTATTGCTGAAAGTTCAACAATAGAAAAATAGTGAGCCGTACAGTGGAATTGCTCTCTCGTGTTTAAACTTACATTGATTATGCTCTGTATTGCTATATCTGAGCAGGGACAAGGAAAATCTGGTACCTTTGATCACTCGATGGCCTTTGCAGCTAGACACAAATTCAAGAAAGTTCCGTCATCCCTTGATCACGTGACAATTCTCGTCTGTTGCAGAATTCTGGTTACCTAAGGCGACAGAGCTGTCAATGAACCTAAATAGTAGAATCTCGTTGGTCGTGAATAACTTCTCCAAAAAAAATCTTAATTTTGCGCCGTCGATTGTCTTGTGGGCACAACTGAAATCTACTTTACTCTTTATCGAAAAAACCCCTCGCTTGTTCATTTACTTTGCTAATTCGAAGCCCTCTTTTTAAAATGGGAGAATCAAGGTTGGTTTGACCGCATAAACTATCAACAAGAACTCCAAATCTCTGACAAAATGGCAAATGTAGACAGGAGCTCGTGGCATGGCTTAACAACCTGCTACAACTTAATATCACAAAAGTTGAACAATGTGGAACTGGGTGAGTAAATCTGCGATTTTGCACAACTCTTCTGTCTTTCGTTTTCCCCTATTAGACTATTTACTAACATAGATCGATCATCAATACAGTGCTGCTCTCTGCCAAGTATTCGACAGTATCTTCCTCGATGTACCGATGTCAAAAGTCAAGTTCAACGTAAATACCGAATATGCATACCTACAAAATTTCAAAATTCTTCAAAGTCGGAATACCTTCCCCTGAATAGGCTTCCAATCACTGACAACGGTCTAGACACCTTTACCCGTCATCAAATTGATCGAAGCATCCATGTCGAACAACTTGTTAAATGTAAGATGCAAGACAATCTCGAGTTTTTACAATGGTCCAAGAGATACTGGGATCAATACTTTCCGGGAGGTGAATATGATGCTGTAGCTCGTCGACGTGCCGCTGGAGGACCCGGTGCCGCCCCTTCGGCTGCGCCGAAAACATCCGCTGGGACTGGAGCAGCTCGAAGAGGAGTAACACCAACGACGAGCGGCGCACGAGTTGCTAAGCCCGGAGGAGTTGCTGGTGGTGCAGCTTCAGCAGCATTAAAGGCAGAGAATGATACTTTGAAGGAGACCGTTGCAGGGCTAGAACGTGAACGAGATTTCTACTTCAGCAAACTCAGAGATATCGAATTACTGGTTCAACAAGCATGTGAAGAGGACCCCGAGATTGAGAAGCAGGAAGACGGTTTAATCAAGCACATTCAGACTATCTTGTACTCAACTGAAGATGGATTTGAAATACCGGCCGAGGCGGAGGTTGATGATCAAGAAGAGACATTCTAGATTGTTTTTACTGTAATGGGATTTGGATTTTTGCAGGCATTGCAAATTTTATTCACTGATTCTTTATTCTGCAGCGATCTAATAGCAAGAGAAGCTATGAGATAACGAATTATGAACGAGCAGAATGTGTGCGAGGCACAAATATACAAAGCTCATGGGTTGGTAGCATTCATAGGCTACGGGAAGGTTCTATGCGGCGAACCTGCGGTGAACCAATTCTGAAGCATATTGAGAAGTTACATAATTCTTAAGAGAGTTATCTGGTTATTGAAGAGTTTAATATTAGAATGTAAATCCCACAAGTCCCTTTCTCGTACAATACCAATTTGATTTAATTGTTTACTTTTTTTTTTAATTTTCATAAGATGGTGTGAATTGAATTGAATGAGCGTCACAATTATTAATTTCTTATCGCCAAGTGATATTCTGACATTTTGCGCTATCAAGCGTCATCCATCCTTGTTGCACAAGGCCAGGCCAGCCCAAACCAATCTTACAAGGCAACCTCAAGAATCAAAACAACCGGTAACGATTCTAATCCTTCACAAAGAACAACACGACCAACAATCAATTTTCTACATCGAATTGCATCGCGTCAAATCGCATCTCACTCATCACTTCAATTGATCATGGCACCGCCTCTCGAACTGTCCATACCCAGCACGATTCTCTCGAGCGCTCCAAATGAAAAACCCTACACGCTCTACAACATCACATTACGTCTCCCTCTTCGAACCTTCGTCGTCCAGAAGCGCTACTCCGACTTCGTGACTCTCCATTCGGCGCTCTGCGCCCAAGTTTCCGATGCTCCTCCTTCCCCCCTTCCCGCCAAAACATGGTTCAAAAGCACCGTCAACTCTCCTGAATTAACAGAAGATCGTCGTCGCGGTCTCGAAACATATCTCCGTAGCATTGCCGAAAATCCCGATCGTCGATGGAGAGAAACGAGCATTTGGCGACAATTTTTAAATCTGCCTAGTAATAGTGGGAATGGAAGTTTGAGTAGTGCGAGAGAGGGACTCATTGCTGCGAATCAGAGAGGTGTGGGTGGTAATGCCGAGATCATGGCTGATCCACAGGTTTGGTTGGATGTTCATCGCGAATTGAAGGCGCAGTTGCATGATGCGAGATTGTTTTTGGGGAGGAGGGATGGTGCGAATACCGCGGCTGGTCAGTATGAGGCGGGCGCCAATGCGAAGAGGTGTTTGGTGAAGGCTGGGGGGTTACTTAAGGATTTGGAAGATGGGTTGAAGGTTATGGGGGAGGGGGAGAAGAATGGGAGAGGGGAGGCAAGGGTTGGTGCAGGTGAATTGAGGAGGAGGAGAGATTTGTTGGGGAGTGCGAAGGTAGAAAAGGAGGGGTTGGAAAAATTGGCCGTTACATTGGCGATTAAAAATCAAGCAAGTTCGAGTTCTGGAAATGGTAATGCGGCGGCCACTCAAGCAGATAAAAGCGCATTATTTGGACCAGGAGTATCCCGACCCAGTGGAAGAGTTCTCGGCGCACCGGTTCCTGAAACGGATAAAACGAGAGAATTGGACAATGAGGGCGTATTACAATTACAAAAGGAAATGATGCAGAATCAGGATATGGATGTGGAAGAACTAGCCAAGATTGTGAGAAGACAGAAAGAAATGGGATTAGCTATTCATGGAGAATTGGAATTGCAGAATGAGATGTTGAAGAGAGTGGATGAGGATGCTGATAGAGTTAAAGGAAAAATTAATATTGCAAAGAAGAGACTTGGAAAGATTCGTTAGACTTTTGGTACAAGACAGAAGATACATATTGTATGAGCGGGGAGGTATGAGAGGTGTGGAAGATATATGATAGGGCATTTGATATTATTTATTGGATGCGGTATGGCGTTTATGGATTGATTTACTTGCTCGCTATTTCGACGCATAGGAATTGGGATTGAATCGATGGATTGGATTGGAACGGAATGGAATGGATTGGATTGGAGGGTCACTAGGAAATATTTGTATATTGTAAGATTAGTTTTAATATATTTAGTTAATTGCGATGGTGGATGAGTAGGTAGTATATGTATAGGTAGGTAGTTTGATAATATAAGTAGGGTATTTAAACATTTATACGAAATACTATGTTTAATTAGGTATAACTTGGAAATATAATATATTATATTGAGTATTGTTTTATATTCTTTCTATGGTTTAAATTTGTTTTCTTATAAATATTAAATATAGATAGATAATCTTAAAGGTTGTATTTACTAGTGAGAGTGTTGTAACGATACTGTACTGGAGGCAACGGCTGCCTGAGGTTTCGTCTTGTTGGTAGTTGTGGGTTAAGGCTTTATCACTGGTATTCACTTGGAAGTGAATTCGTTACTAGATCAAGTAGAATGTAGGTAAACTAATTGATAACTAAGTTGAGCACGAAGCTCCTATACTATGAAAATAATGAATGTTTATATACTGGTCCTTTCCAGGAGCCTGCAGGAGCCTTGAGGAGCCTATGCTCCTGGAGGTTCCATCACGTGATCCCTACTTGTCCGACGTGATGGTGAATCGTGACAAGTGTATATATTCATGAATTAATCAAAAGTCATTTTATCTTATTTTTAAATCATACTTTATCATTATTACTCTTCCTACTATATCAACCTAGATATATATATATATATCTATTTGTTTATTATCTATACACTCAAATCTAGTTATTCTTCTATCTCGATAATAAGATTATCTTTATTTATACATTTAGTTAGATATGTATTTATATTTTCAAATGTTATAATCAAATCATCAAATCATCAAATCCTTACATTATAAAATCATCACAAATCCCAAATTTCCTATACATATATATGAAAAAAAAGAATCATTTAATAACTCAACCACCTACATATCACTATACTACTTACTACCTACTACCACAACTTAGATATCTACTATATCCATCCATCCCCCTCATCCTCATCCACATCTCCCTCAACGCCTCTCGCAAAATGAAAAAGCGAAAAAGTAAAAAAGACAAAAAAAAGAACGAAAGACGAAAAAAGAATCCCAACAAAAAACCCCAAACTCTAAAAGCAGAAAAGGGGTATTTAAGAAACATAGAAACCTAGAAACATATACGCATGCAGTTTATTCGTTCATTCTCATTCTCATTCTCTCTCTCTCACTCTCTCCTTTCAACACACATCACAAAATATCAAAGGTACCAATACCTTAATCCACTCCACTCCACTCCAACATTTCGTTATCAAAAAAAAAAAGAAAAAAAGTATCAAACTACTCAAGCACACTCTTGACATCCATCTCTTTCCTATACATAAATAAATAAACAGACACATGATATAAACGCATAGACGCATAAACATATCAACAGATAAACGGATAAACTCCTCAGAAGAATAAATGAACGAATGGAAATAAACTTCGACATCGAAAAACAGATTAAAAAAAAAAAAAAAAGAACCAAATATGAAACAAGAATAAAGAAGCAAGAAGGAAAAATGAAAAACAAAAAACTCCATCGCTAATGCTTCTTCGGTCGTGTTGTGAATAAAAATTTCTGGATTTGAAACAAAATCGACAATTTCGCTTTCCCCCCTTTCTTTCGCTCGTGTCCCCTTTTCCTTGTTCCTCTTTTACCGAGTGCTGTTTGGGATGGAATCCCACATTCCACATTCCTCGTCCTCATCCTCATTCTCATCCCCATTCCACATGATAAATATCCCTCACCCCTCACCCCTCACCCTCACCCTCAAATCCAACCCAAATTCTCCAACGTAGCCTTCGCATCATTCGGACTCATACCACTAACCCCCAGACTCCTCACCTGAGTACCCCTCCTCAATCTCTGCAAACCTAACGCCACCTTCCACGCCTCACTCTCTTGCACCACAAAAACATATTTCTTGCCCTCCTGGTCCCTAATGCTCGCTCTCAAAATATGTAACCCGGCAGTTTTACTCTCACCCGTCTGCGCATAATGGTTAGTGGTTCTTTTGATTTTCTCTGCATGAGGAAATTGAGATGACACAATGGAATCAGCATAATCAGATGAGACAGATGATCTTGTATCAGATGAAGCATAGGAACTTGCAGAATAGACGGAACCACTAACGGAATGCGCCGTGGGAGAATGATGAGAAATAGCTCGGGCGCGACAATTATCCCGACAGAGTTGCAGCATACTAACTAGAAGAGTATCTTTTTCCTCTTCACTAGCTGCTAATTCTTTATCGAGACCCCAAAGGCGTCGGACGGGATTTTTGTGAGCTGTAGTTGCGGGTGGAACACGCGATGCTTGTCTGAAAGATGGACACCATACCTCTACGAGTTTCATTGTCCATGCTTTGATATCCCACTCTCTTTGAGCGACACCTCGTACATCATCATCGATGAAAAGACCCTCGGTTGTAATTCTTAATATTAGTCCGTCGGTAACAGAACCCACACCGGATAAAAGTTGAGATGTAGGGTTTTTGTGGAATGCGTTATTGAATGCGAATACACCTTTGATAACAATCTTATCAGGATCCTTGGTACTATATGCTCCTCTGGTCGAAGGCGGTGGAGTAGTTTTACAAGTTGATTGTGAAGCTGCGTATGAAGATTCGGAATATAATGAATTGAGGGACTTTTTCCGGCTTGGTCTTGGCGGTTGTGCATAAGATGAGTGGAACTGGCCATCCTTGTCTGTACCTGCATACGTTCTTGCAGCGGGGGCTGGGGTTCTCTTGGGTGAAAGAGGTTGTGCTTGAGGTCGGGGTATCGAAGTTGTGGTAGGAAATGCTGGTGTTGTCGTGGGGGGTCTTCCAGTTGGCCAAGGACTTATTCTCTCTCCTACACCAGCATTCGCATAAGTGCTTGGTTTTCTCCTCTCAGCGGCAAGTGCAGCTTCGATTCTGGCTGCTTTTTCACGTTCTTCCTTGAGTTTGGCTTCTCTTATTTGTGCTGCTACTTGGGCTGCCTTTTCACGTTCTTCCTTAAGTGTGGCTTCTCTCATTTGTGCTTCGATCTGTGCTGCTCGTTCACGCTCCTCCCTAAATTTGTCTTCTCTCATTTGTGCTGCTATCTCGGCTGCCTTCTCGCGTTCTTCCTTGAGCTTAACCTCTCGTATTTGTGCCGCTACTTCCTTCTCACGTTCTTCCCTAGCTTTGGCTTCTCGTTTCGCAATCGCCGCCGCCTTAGCATCAGCCCATGCTTTCGCAGCCGCCTTTGCCTTTTCAGCCTTTGCCTTGGCTTCAGCATCTGCTCTTTCTTTCTCTGCTCTGGCCTTCTTGTCTGCTTCCACTCTAGCTATAGCTTCTAATCGTAACATTTCCTGTTCTCTTCTGATGGCCTCCTCCTCTTTCCTTAAAACTTCTCTCCTAGCTATCTCCTCTCTCAACCTCCTATCGTAGTCCGCTCTTGCTTTAGCCTCGGCCTCTGCTTGTATTCGTTCTCGAATTTCGCGTTCTTCCTTTGCCTTTCTCTCTCGCGCCACTTGATCTTCCCTTTCCAATCTCGCTATCCTTTCATTTTCCTCCCTCTCCTTCTCCCTCGCCGCCTTTTCTCTCTTTTCCCGAGCTTCTAATTCTTCCCTATCTCTTCGTTCCTTGGCTTCTCGTATCTCTCTTTCCATTCGTTCCTTAGCTTCGCGGGCTTCCCTTTGTTTTCTTTCGCGGTTCGCTCGTTCCAAGGCCTCCTTCGCTCGTAATTCTTTCAATCGCTTTTCCAAATCTTCCTTTCGCTTTCTCTCAGCCTCTGCCTTCTTTCTCTCCTCTTCCTTCTTTCTCGTCCTCTCTCGAGCTTCTTCCCAGGTAGTTCTCGAGGCATTTTGTTTCGATCGAATGTCATTGTTTGCGCTAGGGGTTGTGCCAGGACTTTCCCTTGGTGTTGCGCCCGGCATCTCTGGACCAGCATCAGGAGAAGAAGGAGGAGTTTCTTCCCAACCTGAATTTGTTCTTTGTCTTGTTCCTGATCCGGTTTGCGAATTAGGTTGAGGTCCCCCAGCCCCCTCTGGTGTGGATCCAGGTGAAAATCCAGTTCCTGAAGCCCGGGGCCCACCGCCTGAAGCCGATCCATTAGAATAAGTGTTATTATTGGCACCTGAGTATGATCCACCATGCGGAGGTACACGGGGTCCTTGACTTGGTCCGGGCCTGCTTTCACCATTCGATTGCATTCGCCCTAACGCCCAAGCTCCCAACCCAATCGCAAACATGAGAATCACGGTTGCTGGCCCTCCACCTCCTTTCAGACTATGCAACAGTGGTTTTAAAATAAAAGTTAACGCGACAAGTATAAGCGCTGATGCAAAACCGGCTACGAAACTGTTGACATTTGGTTGCAGTGAAGGTAAATATAAAAATCCTGATCCAGAAGCATGCGGTGGAATGATGAAAATGTCATAGTTTCCTGGTGGTAACCCCGATGATTTCGGCGGATTGCCGTGAGGGGGAGGGGGAGGAGGTGATTCATCAGCCATGGTAACCTTGTATGATGTAAGTTGATTGAAAGTCGATATGTACAGGTACTCAAAAAGTGGTCGATTTGATTGGGACTCTCAAGGTTTCGAATTTGTAAAGGGTATCTCGAATGATTCGTATAGTATTGTCATTTAAGCCATAGATAGATAGATAGATAGATAACTGTATGTATGATAAGATATCAGCTTCAGAAGATTTCTTATCATGCTCAAATACGCGCAATGAACAAACCTCTTCATGAAGCCAAAAGGTCGCAGGAATCAAAAGCTTTTGTTGGCAAACGAGAGAAAAGTAGTTCACAATGTGACAATCATTCGACAAGACAAAATTTACTAAGATACATCCAAACTAACAACAGTATAGCCTTCAAACATCCGCAGATATTCTCCAATTCGAATAATTCTCTTATCAATCTGACCTTCCTGTCGTACTCTGTATGATTTAAATTTTGTCCCCAGAAAGAAGGTAAAAAAGGAAAAGTTCACAAGGTTTGGATTAAGATTTGGTTGATGAAGCAATTTAGTATGTATGGGCAGTTGTTTACTTTGGGATAAAAAAAAAGGAAGAAAAAATAAAATAAAACTTCTCAAACATCAGTCAATTTTCAGAATTTTTCAGGGTTCCAGGATTGACACTGGTGTACTGTACTTCCATAGGCGAAATGCACAGCGATAAGTGTCGAGTCCTCCAAGGCTGAGGGAAGATGATAGTGGAAGGATCAAATAAATTTGATAAGAAATGTTATTTGCCTTTTGCGATTGAGTTGATTGAATTGATTTAATCGATTGAATCGGCTGAATTGACTGAATTGATTAAATTTATCTGATTTTTATCGTCTTCTTTTGTTTTTCATTTCCCATTTACCCCAGAGAAAGTAATAAAAGTTTTATAAAGCTAGATGCTTGTAAGTGTCCCTCTATCTTCAATCCAACGCTCTACTTTGATTCTACTAGTAGGTACTTCACTCCAAACACACCAAACACGGGACAGAAAACGTCCAAGAAATAGGGTATTCCTTGTTTACAGAGTACAATTAGTAATCGTGGAGATAATCCATTACCTGCTCTAAAGGAGTTTTAAAGCTGGAGAGGGTTCTCAACTGTGTATTGCTACAAACCTCCAAGCAATACAATCACCATCAATTGCTGGGTATAAATACACTATACAACAACCATTCATTCAATCTCCCCTGATTATGAGTCCTACACCATCACCATCTCCACCTTCCTCTACCAGAAGAACACGTTCTCATACCCAGAAGCATTCATCCGTCCAGTAAACTGTCGTGCGAGTAACAACATCCATTTGGCCCTACCGCATCAGTGGGCCTACCTCCTATACCTAAGTATAACTACATCGTACGGTATGTACCCACCCACCACCATCTTCATTCCAAACTCGCACGGAGAGAGAGTCTCAAAGAGAGAGTATCATCGTCAAAAACTACCTACCTCTACGTAGTACTGAAAACCATCAGCGCCAATAAATCACCACCCTCATCCAATCCCATCCCTTCATCAACACTTAAACCGTTATATTATAGACCCTCTCTGCAGACCAACCCACAAATATTGTGACCATCACAAATGTCACACTGCATACTCCATCCGTACCGTACTTACTCTACTTACGGAGTACCTAGGGAGGTAGGTAGGTAAACAAGGGACGGCCCGTCCATTAAGACTTTATCTAATTAATTCTCTTTCTATCCATCAGCCCATTTATCTTCTTCACTCATCAATGATCAACCCTGATCGTGCTTTTGTTTGGCGCCCACTTGTATACGGAGTATCGTCCACATCTATTCTTACAATTTCACATGCATACATGCAGGATACAAGACACAAATGAATATGAATGTCCAATATCCAATACCGAAATCAAGAGCGGTCTCTATGAAACTGGAATCTTCATTTGTACCAATTAAATAAACTTTGTGTGTGTGCTTCGTTTACGGAGATGTGGGCTGGCTTTTCATGGAAGGTTACATAGGCTTGAGCGTTGCTGTAGGCAACGGATCACTTGAGATGACGTAGATGTGTTTGGTAAGAGAGCGGTTATGTTACACTTTTTATCTTTTATTGGATCGATCTCCTGCATGGGATGGAAAGAAAAGGGGTATGAACTTTGAAGTTGTGGTGAAAAATAATAGAATAAGATGGTTGAGTGATTATCTTCATATGAATATGGAATGAGTGCTGAAATATGCTCTAATTATTGGAGGAGTGAACAATGGAGTGAACTTGATGAAGTGACCAGACCAGACGAGCGTCTTGATCTACATCGTCCGAGGAAGTCCGAGGAGTGGTACGGAGTAGAGAAAGTGTGATGAAAAGATTTATTGTGTCAATTGCTTCAAATAACTTTTTATTTGATCGAGTTTATTTCTATTGTTATATACATATATCCGGCAATTATGAGTAGGAAGCTAGTCAAGGACAGCAATCTATATCAGATAATACCTACCAGAAAACCTTTTTTTTTTGTTTGTTTTTTTATCATTTTTAACTGAATCATCCATACAAAATTCATATAATATCACCTCTTTCCCATTCCAACCTTAAGAACACACACACATCACATGAAGCAAAAGCTTAAGTAGATATCAATAACAATATCAAAACCAATACCAATAACAACATCAAACTTAACAATCAAAAACGCACCCCTAATTTTGGCAAGACTACTTCCACACACACACACAGCAACAATTCTTCCACAGAGTCACATCTATAGCTAGGTACCTAGTCCAAGTAATAACTTAAAGTGAGTAAGTGGATAATATTATAAAAACCACAACCAACTCTTCAAAACAAAACTCGGCTCTAGATTTTCTTTGCCAAGGGATAAGATGAAATAGGTACTGTAGGTAACTCGTACCTAGATATCCAAAGTTTCTCATCTCATCACAGCACAGCACAGCACAGCACATCACAGCACATCACAGCACATCACAGCACATCAAAATATTAATTAATTGCAATTGTAATTGGTCTTAGTATTTCCAATATTCTTCTCTGATACTCTGTACTTCTGGTTCGGATAGCCAACTGTTACCCGTTTGATATATACTATCATTTAGATTCAACTCCTACCGCCGGCCTGCTTCTTCCTGGTGGAGTGGTAGTATAATAAGTCTTACGATAATACTACTAGTATTATCGTTTCCCGTTTTGTAAGATCTTAGAACTTTACTCCAATTTATTAGTTTTAGTATTAGTATTTCAAATACCCACCTACTTAGATATTATTCCTCGATATCAGAAATCAGAAATCAGGAATTAGGAATTAGGAATCGAGATGAAGAGTTCTTTCTCCATTATTTATTAACTTCATTAGGTAGGTATCTAATTATATAGAAGTTTGATTTGTCACTATGTTTAAGGAGAGTGTGTGTATATGTAAGATTTTATTAAGTTATATATCTCTTTGGATGGAATATGGATAGGTGATTTTGAGGAATTTGCGCCTTTTTTCTATTTAGTTAGTTAGGAATGTGGTTGATGTTTGTGAGTTTGGTGGTTGAGATGATATTAGGGGATCCAGATTATTGGAGGAGTTTAGGTTGGTTGGTTGGTTGTGAGGTAGTGAGGTATAGATGTACTGTATGGATGGATGGATGTATAGATGTATAGATGTATCAAGGAAAGTAAGGAGAGAATTGTGATAAACGTAAGATTATCATTATTTTCGTGGTATTGAAAATGGAAAGTAAATATTTTTTGGTTTTTTTTAAACAATGAATAAAGTAAGCAAGTATATATATAAGATCTTATAATTTTTCTTCTTCTTTTCTTCAATAATATCAAAGTATACTTACTCTTATAAAAATCTCACCTTTGATCTTTCCCTTATCGATCTCATTATATAATATGATAAAGCGATCAATAGCTAGACAAATAAATAGACAAATAATATAAAAACTCTCCATCTATGTTTATTTCAGAATATTCAATTTTCAATTATTTCCCCTCTTCTATTGAAGAATTCAATGTTGTCATATAGCTACTATTTTCTAATGCTTGGTATGATTCATGAGAAAGACGGTATGGTATACAAATCGATATCTTCTCGCGTTGGTGGTGAAGGAGGTTGGTGGGATGCGTATTAGTCTGTCAGTGTGGAGATGATGTTACAGTTCATAACTCAGAAAGAAGGTAGACAATCATCGATCCAACCCTTGAGGATCAATAGAGAATAAATATGTCGATAATTACCATATAAGTCTAATACTCTATTTTCCGGCCATCCCTAATTCCGGCCATTTATCTTAAAGAACTGCTTCAGACCAAAGCAAACGGGCTATTCCTTTGGCTTTTCTTGATTATTCGACAAATACATGAAATGAGCAACAAAGGCTTGAGTATGAAAATCATCGAATCAAGGATTTCAGAGTGCCCAAAGGAATTAGATGGACTTTATGAAGACCTTCTTAAGAAGATTGAGAACAGTGAGCTGCGGGAAACCACCATCTTATTTCAGTGGATATGTTTCACGAGTAGGCCATTATCACTTGATGAACTGAGGACTGCAATGATAGTTCATCTGAGTGGACCAAAAAGTTCACTGAACGAATACGAAGATGAAAGCAATCCTTACTGTATCCCCAATGATCGAAAAATGAAAAAAAGAATGATATACTTAAGCAAAGGTCTTATAGATATTGCGAATTCGGATTTAGCAAAGGACAAACCTGTTATTGGATTTCACTATGATACAATCAAAAGCTTTATACTCATAAAAGGTCTTAAGTACCTCTACAGTAGACTGGCAGAATTACAAGGTCTTAATTATCTAGTTCAAGACCTTGCTAAGAAAACCCATTTGCAGCTGGCAAATACATGTCTAGACTATTTATCAATAAGAAAAATTGGTACGATGTTCTCAGAAAAACAAATCAAGTCTCTAAGCCAGTTCTTTTTTCTGGACTATACAATAGAAAATTGGTTTACACATGCTATTAAGGCAGAGAAAGATGAGCACGGAGAAGAGATTAATTGGCCTTCTCAAGATGTTCTTGATATATGGGTTCGTACATTTCAAGTTCAAGACAGAGATGCAAAAGATTATCCCAAAGAAGGTATTAGCTTATTGTATATTGCAGCAGAGTACGGATTGCCTAGATTAGCCGAAAGCATTTGCAGAAGCGATAAGCAACAGGTTGCAACATCCACAAAGATAGGTCCCAAGCGGCAAAAGATTACAGAAAAGGAAAAAGGATTTCGGAAAACAAATGACTGCAGGGTCGATATTACAGAGGAACAAAGTACAGTTATAAATAGAAAGGACAAAGAGGGAAATATACCTCTCCATCTGGCCGCATTGAAAGGACACCTTGAAATAGTAAAAATTTTGAAGAGACGAGGAGCGGAAATCCATACGACGAATGCAAAACATTGCACAGCATTTTTACTAGCGGCGGCGCACGGTCATATCGAAGTGGTCAAGTTCTTGTATGAGCATGGAGCAGATCTTCATACACCGGATAATAATAATTGGAATCCATTAATCTCAGCATCATATAATGGTCATATCGAAGTGGCCAAGTTCTTGTATGGAAATGGAGCAGATGCAGATATCCATACAGCAAACAACAATGGCAGGACTCCCTTATATGCAGCATCATGTAATGGTCATATCGAAGTGGCCAAGTTCTTGTATGGAAATGGAGCAGATGCAGATATCCATACAGCAAACAACAATGGCAGGACTCCCTTATATGCAGCATCATGTAATGGTCAAATCGAAGTGGTCAAGTTCTTATATGAAAATGGAGCAGATCTTCATACAACAGATAATGATGGTTGGACTCCATTAATCTCAGCATCATATAAAGGTCATATCGAAGTGGTCAAGTTCTTGTATGAGCATGAAGCAGATATTCATACAGCAAACAACAATGGTTGGACTCCATTGCATACAGCATCATATAAAGGTCATATCGAAGTTGTAAAGTTCCTTTCTGGAATTTCTGAAGTATATGCCTTGGATACCGATAATAATGGCCGAACAGCTTTTTTCTTTGCTGCGATGCGAGGGCACAATGAATTATTACGATTATTGTATACTAAGTACCCCTCTTCTCTCCACATCAAAGATAATTATAACGCAACACCATTATTTGCTGCATCAAGAAACGGGCGTGTAGAAATAGTTAAGTTTTTACTCAACGCTGATCATACCTATATCAACTCTAAAGATTGCTTTGGTCGGACGTGGATCTGCTGGGCTAAAAGAAGTAGAAATAGTCAACTTGTCGATCTTATCTACCAGCATGCCGACACAGTAGGCCTTCAAATTGAAGAAGATAATGCAAGCGCGAAACATGCGCTAGTGTTATATGATTCAACATCAGCTTGGTGCCATGTTTGTACATTGTCCATTCTAAATGGCAGTGACTACTATAAATGTGGAATTTGCGATAGTGGCAACTTCTGCATTTGTCTAGAATGCTTCAAATTTGGTGTCAAATGTCAGAGTGCTTCTCATACATATGAATTAAGCAATTCGAAAGGTTCTGTAGGCGTTTAGAGCAGGGTCCTTATTTCTGTAGCATGGATTATGTTTGTGGTTGATTATTTATGTGTTTTTATATGTTCATTATCATTATATTGAAGTTACTCTCA